CAGTGCGTCTCACCAGAATCCCAAAAGGAAGCACACAGATCAGTTGCTAGTGGAAGAAGGCAATGAATGATTTCACTCCAGCATTACAAAGGCTCTGCACAGCTCTGACCCAAGCAGTTAACCTTACTCTTAGGGAAGTGGAGGTGCAACAACTGCTCTCACCATAAACTGCCAGTGCAGCCACCTTCCATCTATTCAAAGGCAACATTTCAGATCATTTAGGGTATCTTATTGTAGAGGCCACAGAGTAAAAAATGGTGTCCCAAATCCATAATAAATAAAGAAACATTATGAAAGTGCTCTGAAATCTTGCAGGGGAAAATCTGAAATGTGGAAGTTTAGTACTTAAAAGTGTGAATTACATACATTTCCTAGTGATTTCCTTAAGTTTCCTAGTTTGGGAGGGTAAGTTGACTCATGAGTTTTAATCATTTCAGAAGAGCCACGCTCCTGCTGATATACTACTGGGAAGCTCCTGTTGTAACTCCCACATGCACCCGAGCACTTTTCAAAAAAAGACTCAGATTTTGTCACCAGTGATTAATTAAAACGGGAAGAGCTGGCAGACAACCCATATGCGCCAATCTGCACGTATGCATGCTAAATTATGCGCTGGGGCCAAGGATAGTCAGGAATCCCACTTTCCCACGCTCCCAACATTGTCCTTCCTCCCTCTTTCCTCCTGGACCCGCTGCCACCACCTTGTGGTCGAAGTGGCGTCTCACGGTCCCACCATACCAGATTTAAATAATTTACAGGCACTGAAGGCAAAACACCTCCCCAGGCCTGAGCAGTGCTCACAGGAACACACACCCGAGGAATGGTGAGAGGATGTGTTACACCACAATCACACAAAAGCTTGGGGTTTTCTTTGCAGGGTAAAACGGTGGGGAGGGGATAATTTACCAAAAAGAAAGTAAATACTACAACCCAGGGTACAGATACAAGATTTCTGGACTGCAAACTCCCGGCTGATATTTGCATTCACCTCATCCAGTTACTTAACAAAGCTCTTAACAAAGCAGAAAATGTCAAATCTTCAATCATGTCTGTAAGAAACACTGATTTGATTTCAGCCTGCATTTAGGTTTCTGCCTCTTCTAATTTTCTTTTTTCACATTAACCTCAGTTAAAGCTGTAGAAATAATTCCATTCCTGTACACCAGTGCTTATTTACCCAAGCCTGAGCGTGTTCCTCCAAAATTAGGCCAAGCACAATAACTGCAAAAACTGTGCCATGTGGGTTGACCAGATGATCACAGCACTCTGCAGTCTTTCCATGCAGGTGAGAAGAGAAAATCAGAAGCAGCCTTAAGACTTTCTGCTACGGGGAGCAGCTGTAGAGAACCACCACCATAACCTCATGCTTCAGCCATTAACATACAAACACTAAGGCCTGAGCCTTTCGATCATCCTTTAAAAACACGTTTTAGCCACCTTGCATCTTACTGCTGTGGAGACAAAAAAGCAAAATAACATGAACATTAATATTGGAAGATTAATCAACCCCACCAAAAAAGCTCAAAACCCAAGTTCCATGTCCCATAAGAAGGGTTGATAAGCAGAGATAACTGACCAGCATCTGACTGACAGCATGGAAAGGGATTCTTGTCATCTGGAGACTCTGCACAGTAGAAAAGATGACATTCAGAAGAGCCCTCCAAAAATTGCTATGAGACATTAGGAGTCTATCTTGTAGTTGGATTCTTCCCAAATTTATGGCTGAGCTCCTGCCTTACCATGGCTGTGTGCTTTTTCTGTTAGCACAGAAAATGGAGCAGCATCACCACAGACATCACATCTGCATCAAGGAGCACTCAGGTGTTCATTAAGGGGGGAATGGGCTTTAAGTCATAGTTCAGCAAACCATGAATGCCATGTTTTGGCATCTAACCCTAATTTTTTTCATATTTCAGCTTTCTTTTTCATAAAAAATAAAACCTCAAAAATTCAGTTTTGCTGACTGAATCTCTGTTTTGCTCTTTCAACAGAAGAAAGCATTTGATGATATCCTCACCAACAAAGCACCTGAGCTACTGAAAGACTTGGATACTTTCTTAGGGGACAAGAAGTGGCTGGTAGGGAATTCTGTAAGTACAATTTTTGTTTCTCCCATTTCCATAGGTTGCAAGAAAAATCAAGTAATGAACTATTGCTGAATTTCTGGATTTCATGTCAGGCCATGAAGGAACTCCCCCCAAGGAACTCTACTCACACTTTGAGCCCTTTATTCTTACCAATACACAACTGGTCACTCAACTGCAAAGTGAAAATTGTTTTTCACAATATTAGAAAAGTTAGGCAAACCAGGACTAGGATCTGCATTTTCTAAAGCAGTTTGTAAGTATGTTGACACAAAACATTTTAAAATGCTTTTGCACTTGTGAACACAAATTAATGACTACACAGAATCCTGTTTAATCATGACTGACTTATTTTTAAGGCAATATGAAAACAGACTCTACATAAACATAGTACCCTTTTTACCCCAAACTGTTTTCTGCAGCACAGTTTCAGCAGGAAAGACTAATATTGTAGCACAATTAATATTTGTAGCCAGGACTTGATTTGAACCAATATTTACTGAAGTCAAGCTTTGCATTGCAACCTAACTACTAGCCCTGTAATGTTGGGGCTGTAATGGGCTTTAAAAAAACCCCAACCCCAAAATGAAAGCTTAAAACAGATAAATTTAGAATTTTTTGAGAATATTAGTAATCCTGGCTTTTGAGATTACCAACTAAAATTTACTGCTTTCTGTCCCATTTCCACTAGGTATCGTGGGCTGATTTCTACTGGGATGTGTGCAGTACAACACTTCTGTCCTGTAAGCCTGACCTGGCAGACAAATACCCCAGGCTTTTGGCTCTCAGGGAGAGAGTGCAAGCACTGCCAGCTATTGCAGCCTGGATCCAGAAAAGGCCGAAGAGTGTAATGTAGATCAGCTGCTCAGAGAAACAAATTCTTGTTTAGTTTTCAATATGACAAGCATCCTAAGTTATTAACTTCTGAATAATTTAAATTAACTTCAGATGACTATGCTGTATCAAGTCAAAATATAGTATTTGTATCCACTTGCAAGAGAATCTAAAACATCGATTTAGTAGAGTAATAAATATTGATTCACAGAAGTGTGGTTTCAATCACATTCCCCCTCTACTAACACAGTGCTTGATCAAACCAATTAATGTTTTGTGCACTCTTAAAGGGAAAAGGTGAATGCATCATCATGGAGAGGTACAATCTCAACATTTTGCCTATTGCAGTCTTTCAGTCTGAGGAAAGCAATTTAAAAGGAGAGGGCAAATGTGTGGGACACTAAGCAAAAAAAAAAAAAAAAAAAAAGACTCAGTCAATAAAATTCAGGGTTTGAAAAAAGTGTTTGAGAAGCTTGAGGTTTATGCTGTGCCCCCGAAAAAACCAAATGGAAACCTCCAAAACAAGTCAAAAGCAGTTGCACAGCTGATCTGTTGCCCACACCAGCACCAGTTCCCCATAAACACACCACCTGCAAAAACATTTAACAGCACAGTATCTATACCAATAAGTAGGAGACACAAACTGGGGGTTGGTGGTGGCAACCAGGTTCAGAACAAATGAAGGGTTTGCTCTTCCAAGACAGGAGAAAAGGCAGGTGGTAATCATCCTGGCAATGTGGATGGCTGTGGATGAAAGTGGTTTACACAAACTCAAGGGGAGACAAGTGCTTGTGAGTGGTCTCCACTGTGTGGTGTAAATACATAAACCACAACAAACTTGGATAACACTCCGTGCTGGAAATCACCACTGTTGGGAAAGTATTTGCCTTCACATTTATTTTCCCCTCCCACCTCAAGTATTATTTCATTGAATCATAAGTGACACCAGACAACCCCTACGACAGACAACTCAGGTTATTGTCAGAACAGAAAGAAACCTTTACTCATTCCCATCTTTATCTGCTTTGCAACTCCTTGTGTGCCTTGCTCTGACTCTTCATATGTTTTTCCTTCTTTAGCTCCCAAAACTCCTCTCTTCTTCAGCAACTGACTTAGAGAGTGGCTTTGTGTTTTTTTTCCCCTCTGTACATCTTTCCCAGTCAGAAAAACAGAACCATAGAATAGTTGAAGGGACCTTGGGAGGTCATCTGGTCCAAGCTCCTGCTCACACAGGGCCACCTGGAGCCAGCTGCCCAGTCAGTTCTTGGTTATCTCCAAGGATGGTGGCCCTGCAACCTCTTGAGACTCCCAGCTAAAAAGAGTAGAAACAGTTACAAGGAAGAAAGGTGGAAACACACGAGTTCCACAGCACCTAAAGAGAGATACTGACCCCAGGGGTAACCACTGCTCCTCCAGGCTGCATTAACTGATCCCACACACATCCAGAACACTACACAACCCACCCTGAAGGGCAGGGATCTTATTTCAACCCACATTTGAACTAAGCAGGTGAGAACATGCAGGTACAATGGAATAAGAGTTGGATCAGCATCATGCTCAACAGAAACAACCTGATCAGCTGTAGCATTAAACACCTGTGGTTCTTTGTTAAATCCCACTATGTAGCTCAGCAGAACCAGTGGAATTAAAGAAGCACAGAAAACTGATTCTTACCCATATCCCTTCTCAAACCATACAGTACATCTTCACCTTATTTCAGTTGTGCATTTTGGAACTGACAGCACAGCCACAGAACATATCTAGGAAATGCCAAGCAGTTTAGTCCTCATTTAGGAAAAGCTTTAATTTCTCACCCATTCTGAATTTGCAGAAATCATACACAGTTGACCAAAATACTCACAGACTTGACCAAACCACTTGGCAGGAGTTCTGTTTTTACGATCAATATCCTCACACCACTGTAATTAGAGTATAATGACACATTGGTAATTAACTACTGCTGGACAAATCCAAGTCAATTCAATTGGAACATTCCAGCTGGTTTGAGAGCTGTCTAATTGATTTCTAACATGCACATTATCATCCCCTCACCTGCCCCAAACCACCACAACCACGAAAACATTTTGTCAATGTATGGAATTTTATTGGAACAAGTTGATACAAAACCAGTACGGTACATCAAATGAACCAAAACAAGCAGAAACAGACTTGAGCATCGTCAAATAAGGCACATATAAAAAAATTTACATGTGGAATCCAGTGAAACAGACAGCTTATATATATATATATATTTGGAGGTAGAAATAATTACAAAAATACTGACAAATCTTAAGCAGTAGCAGATTTGTTAAAACAATTTACTACTTAGGTCCCCATTTTAAAAATTGATCTGTAAAACCTTTATTCAGCATCTGAGGTTGGCACATCTGGGCCATTTATGCTTTTAAGCATCAAAAAATGCTATTGGTGTTAAAAATTTTCAATAACATGAGCAATACAGTAAAGAAACTACAAAAAGTTATAAACATTCATAAAACCTCTGGTCAACAGTAATGTAAGAGTCCTTGGAATAATTAATCACATTTCTTCCTTAAATTTCACAACATATTTACATTTTAGAGACCCAATGAAGCTTTTAATAGTGTGGCTATATCTGCTGGAATGCTTCCTTCTTCTCCTGAGGAATAAAGAGAAGCATTAGTACAGCTTAAAATATTTCGCATTAACAGAAAAAAGCCCATGTCCCCAAAACAGTAAAAAAATCCTCTGCTTGTAGGACTTGGTCACTGATTTCTGGGTCAGACTCAGAGGGCACCTCCTGTCAAATCAAAGAACAACCAGCAAAAACACATCTTTCTGGTTTAATATAAAAAACCCCTTGTCTGCATGAAGAACCATGATTTTTCAGAGTAACATATTGCAGCTCTAATTTACTTAAGTGGACATCATTATGTGCAAGACACCTACCTGATTCTGCTGCAGTCATATCTTGTTCTAACTTCAGTTTCTGTTGGCTGATTTTTAGCATGGTTTCTTCAATAGTCCCCTTGCTAATGAGCTTTATGACTTGTACTTCTCTGAAAACCACAAAAAAAAAAATCCATTTTCCTAGTTTGGATTAGTGCAAAAGGGAAGGATGCTATACTTTGGTTCAGCTGGCTGGGATTTAAAGCAATGATGGGGAAATGAATGAGAGGGCAATACAAAGAGCTTCTAGATTTTTCTCTGGAATAACTGTGCTCTGTATTGCAAGAAAACATGTTTTCTTTTGCACTCCCAGCCACTGCAAATGTCTGAACAGTCATAAAAATCTCCATTAATATAAACAAGTCAAATTCCCCCAGTTTCATTTTACCATTGAGTACAGCTAAAATTACACACATTCTATGGTTTCACTCTTTATGCTAGGGTGACACTTTAAAAGCTTAGAATTCTCCTGAAGAGAAAAAACAGTTTGGCCAGTCCCAAAGACTTCAGATCTACCTTGGAACAGTTCCCAGCACCAGAAATTTGAGAATTATGCACAGTTTGAGACTTATAGTGAACTAGGAAAAGGACAAAAGTGTAAATAAAGGTTTGTTCTGCTAACAACATGGACTAAGACAACTACAGTTCCTAGCTCCCACGCAACCCAGAGCTGCTCTACAAAGTCTCTGCTTAAAACTTTTAATCATAAATACAGTCCTTTTAGCCTCCTTTGAGAGCTTGCCTCCAAGAAAACCAAGCACTATAATTAAAAAAAGCCTTACCGTGTCTGCCCCACTCTGTGGCACCGGTCTTCGGCCTGCTTATCGTTGTAAGGGTTGCAGTCAATGTCATGAAGGATAACAATGTTGGCCGAGGTCAGATTAATGCCCAAGCCTCCAGCTTTGGTGGACAGAAGGAATACAAATATATCCATATCTGTATTGAACTCATCTATCAGGTGTATCCTGCAGAGCACAAGACACCATGCATCAGGGCTTGGAAAACACTCCACACTGGATCCAGAGCTGAACACAGAAGTTGGGATGATCTTTTGGAAAAGAGGACAGCAGCACTGCACAGCAGCTCCAAAGTACAGATGTTACACAGCAGGAAAAAGGGTACCAACAGTCCTCTGCAGTAACCAGAAAAACATACTGAGTGATAGATGGATAGCAAGGAGTGAGAACATGCTTAGAAAAAGATTTCCGATGATCACAGAACACAGAGTCAGTTGGAGGACAACGGAAGACCAGAACACATGAAACAAATGGGGAGGCAGGGAATGAATTTTGCTTCAAGACAATCTTCTGTACCAACTACAAATGCAAGGTCAGAAACAGACATCAGCTGTACATGGGAACGAACACCCCAGCAAGAATGACAGTTTTTTTAAATGAAGGAAAAAACATAAAAAAATTGAGACAGGAAACCAGCTCAGCCCAAACAAGAAAAGCATTGCAACATTTTCAGCTGCAGGGACAGACAGAATGGTTTGTCCTAGAGAAACAAAGGAGTCTATCTGCCTCTTGCAAAAGAGATACACTCTACTTCCAAGGAATAGCTACAGGTGTTATGACATGGTGACACACAAATCAAACACAACAGGAACTGCTGAAGACACATATTTTTCATTCCCATGGGTAAGACTGTTAGACTCACCACCTAAACCTCATCTTTCAGCTTCACCCTTACAAAGGTGATCTGAAACTCAACATTAAACACCTTCTATGGTCAATGTCCAGTGAGCACAGACTTCTATAGATTGGAAAACAAAGGTAAGGGTCCAAAGTCAACTCCCCCTTCCCAACACATTAGCTTCCTCTCTCTCATTTTTGGCAAGAGTCACATACCGCTCAGAAATCTGTGTTTTTCCATCCAGCCTGAGGTATCTATGTTGCCAGTGTTTTAGCAAAACTTCCAAGATGTCCAGCATCATCGTGAACTGGCTAAACAACACAACTCTGTCACCCTGGAAAGGATAAAGCAAAGCAAAAATTTTGAAACATGTCAACTATGAAGAACAGTAATTCTTTATTGATGCAAATATGTGATTTTACTTTCATAGAATCCCTGTTTTCCCAAATAAAAGACGAAGCTGAAAATCATCAAGTCAGGATTGACTTCCAGTGCAGATTCCATATCCAGTAATTCTGCTGCATTAAATCACTGCCTGTTATTGCAGTGATATTTTAATTACTTTGTACTCAGGTGACTCAAACAAATCACATATCAAATGCATAAATGACAGATCACGTCATCAATAAACATCAAAATACTTTCATTCAAAACTTAAATTTAAATATTTCATGTAATGCACAGAGTAGCCCTATTTTGTCTAAAATAGTCAGATCCACAGCACCCACCTGCACAAATTCAGGATACTCTGAAGCAATATGGTACATGCTTATTTGCAAAACAAATCTGTCTGAATCTCAGGGCAGGACTTCAAGCTGGAACCTCCTCTTACCTTTCCACTGGCTTAACACACACATGATTATTCTAATGTAATACAATTATTCAATTGCCAAGAGAAGGTCCAAGTCCATGAGGTGTGAAAATTATGCAGGACCCCATATATTAATAGCGTAGTTAACTTGGGATGAATACTCTGAAACTTGGAAAACTGGAAAAATTTATTTCAGCTGTCGCTAAAGTGATGTGCATACTCAGCACTGCACATTAAAAGCTTTAAGTGCTGCTTTGCAATTCTGCACGTGCACTAAATTACATTGTAAAACTCCACAGCAAAGCAACTGGGTTGCATACAGAGCTGGCAGACATTAATTTAACCAGTTATTTAAAGCCACTTTTTAGACAGGAAAAAGCTTCAGCCATCTGTAATACCTTCTCTTTAAGGTTGGAGAGAATGCGTTCCAATGCTCTAAACTTTCCAGAATCCAGGATCTGATCCATGTCTAACATGAAGTCATTGATGTGAGAATATTGCTTACAAAGAACATGCAGCTCAAAATCTGTCATTACTGTCATATCTTCGAAGATAAGGTCAGGGTTAGCATCACAATGTGTGGGTTCCTATTAGCAAAAATGAAGGGAAATAATGCAATACACAATCTTGCCAGGAAACTAAACAAAAAACACCACACAGTAACATCCATAATTTCTGCAAGAAAAACATAACACACCTAGATGTGGATAAATGCAAGCAAGCATTGAAAGCAGTGCAAGCAATGAAAGATGAACTCTCAACTTCAGATTTATAAGAGAGGATAATTACTTCACAATTTAGCTCTTAAAGCACTTATACTGCCAAACACTTAAGAAGGATATGCTAAACCTTCGTAACAATTACCTACTTTCCCATCAAGCCCTATGACCTTTTACCCCTTTAATGAGACCTCTTCCCCTGAAGACACATCCCCTAAAAGGGAGGTCCAACCCTTGGATAGATGGTAGAAGACATCGAAAGCCTAGCCCAAGGTAAGGTGGTTAGAGGGATGTCATGCTGGAAAGAAAGAAAAAGCCACATCTGGACAGTATGATGGTATGGGAGTAAAAAAGGGACAAAAATCCTTCATAAACCAATGGGTCACTTCTTGCTTCCCCAACCTTGTCTGGCTTCACTTAAAACAAAGCTGAATAATATTCAAAGCCAGCTCCAACTTTTTCAGAGCACCTACAGCACACTGAGATTTTTTTTTTTAGATTTTAGACATCAGCAACAATTTTCCCCAAGCTCCTCAGGCATTAACCCCATACAAATTTTTTTAAAAATCCTTAACAGATCAATACTTAGGCCTTCCCTATTTTAGTTCTGTACTATTCAGTTCTTGCTACTCAGAAAGCTACTAAACTCAAATGCCCAGCTAGGATTTTTTCCATAAACTCTAGCTTTAAATTCTGAGGTGGAGGGAAGAGGTGCTAAGGCGGATTTGTTCTCTCCATTCTAATGATAGAAAAATCAGTGTTAAATACCTACAGAGCTTGATTAGAGCAGTGGATGGATGCAGAGAAATAAAAAGCAACAACAGTGAATTAAGACATTTTTGACCAGAAGCCTGACAACAAAACACACAAAGAAACAAGTCTGAATTAGAAATCCTGAGAAATGAAGGATTGCTTCTGAATCTAATCTCCTTACCTTGAGCATGAGGGTGGACATTGTCCTGAGCTTGTCATTTGTGTAATACTGACGATGCAAAAGAGGGTGATTAGCCATTTTTCTAAGTTGCATCATTGCATTTCCCATATTGGAGTTATTCTCTGTAAGCAAAGAAGGCATCTTTGTACTACTATTTAAAAGAACCATCTGAAACACCTTTATCTCTCAGCAGAGCTTAGTTTGCAAGAACTCAGTCTGAAAATTTACCTATTACCTGAACTTCAAAAAATTCATAGAAGGGATATAGACAGTTTATGAGTGTTAAACATTTCTACAAAGTAAAGACTGTAGTCACATTCAACATACATCTCAGCATGATAAAATCCACCAAAAGGAAACAAGGTCCTTACATACCATTACTGTTAATGCTTTTCTTGAGCTTGTTTAAAAGAGCCAAGTAGAGTTGCTCCTGTTTCTCAGACATGGCACACAGTTCAATGAGATCTTTTTTGGGAGGTAGTTGTTTAAGGACCTGAAAAAACGATACCAGATAAAACCTGTACTGTTGTGAACCATCAGTAATTCTGCACTGTCTTGTAGCTGTTATGATAATCTGTTAATTCTCCTCATCCCAGCTCCTTTCACTGCTTGCAACTTCACTAACTCAGGCAGCAATTCAACTCAGGTCTTGACATAGATTATACATCAACCTCCCCATCAAGTAACACGGTCTGCACACTCCAGAAGTACATGAAATGATATTTATTATATGCAATACTTGGGATCTACTCCCCTGCTAATCAGCATTACCCCCTTCAGACCACTGAAGTCTGCAAGTGCCCATTAATATTTTTTAAGACCAGTAATTTCATCTCATATTATAGTGTTGGTCTCAGAGATTATCAGGCTTTTTGATAACACAAACCCATCATTGTAAAGATAAAAGGTTACCTCATCTTTTACTCTTCTCAAGATGAATGGCTTTATTATCTGCTTTGCATGTGCTATTCTCTCCTTCTCATATATGCTTTGCTCTTCAGCACTTTTCTAAGGAAAACATTGAAAGAATTCAATTGCAGTGTGAAGCTTTCAGCTGTAACACGACCACCTTAACTTCTCTAACCTGATGAAAACCCCAACTAAAACAGACATACTTGACTTGACCATTAATATTCCAAGATATCCTGTTACAGAATATTTTAATTAAAAAAGTTTACTCAATTGTTTAATTTTCTAGATTTTCATAATCACATTACCTTCTTCCATAAGACACCAATAAAACAGAAGTTATGCATCAATAATAGTCTTCTAGCAAAAAATAAAAAGTTATTTTTCAAGAAGAGAATTTATGGTACTCACAGTTTTTGAAGAGAACATCCTTCGAATTTCACTAGTGCTACTGCTGAACATATGAGGCATGACAAAATTCAAGAGGGACATCAATTCCAACAGATTATTTTGAACTGGAGTCCCTGTTAGCAGCAAGCGATTCTTGGCCTGTTTGTCCAAAGTGGAAAGAGCAATGAGAAAGATCTGTTAAACAGGCTAAAAATATTATTGGCAAAAAAACCCCACAGCTATGGAGAAGTGAGAAAATGAGCTTGCTTTTAATTCTAACTATTTAAACTTATTATATATTTTGAACTCATGAAATAATTTCCTTCTTAAGTCAACAAAACTGTTTACAGATCTGTGGGGAACTGGGCACCAATTTAAGACAATTTAAAAAGCATTCCTGGATCTGTTAGGCTTCTGCTTGATTGTTCTGTTTGGGCTTGGTTTTGATTGTCGTTGTTGGTGGGTTTTTTTGTTGTTTGGTGTATTCTTTCTTCATCCTCATGATTGTGTTAATTGCTGCTCCCATATCAAGTTCTCTAATGTCATACAGTACTCAAGCACAAGTTTGGAATTGCAAGTACAAGCAAATTTTCTTGCTTAAAGATTGGCTTTTTAAAAAGGTTACTGATGAAAGTATGATCTTGAAAAGTATATTGCAGTAAGTGATCTTAAGTTTATTATTACTGTACAAATACTACAGTGCTAGATCAAAATATTCAGACAAAGAGCTGTACTCAAATCTTTTTCAAAATTCCACTTACTCAGGCTGTAAGCCACAAGAAAAAATATTTTCAAGCTGGCTCTTCTGATATAGCCCTAGCAGAGCCGGTCTTTAAAGTGCAACAAGGTTTTAGCATAAGTAATCAGAATAACATCTTTAAAATTTTTACTACTATGGGATGTAACTGGGAATTTGCTTAATACTGAAACTCAAGCACTACCATCATTGTAATAATGGTAGAGGAAATTTATTACATTTCTTTGGGAGCTTATGTCCCAGAAGAGATCACAGTGAAGGGTCCACTCCTTAGATCACACCAACACTTAAATCCACTTGCATACTGTAGTTCCTCTCAAGTTACATGTATTTGAATGTTACAGTGATAATATTCCATTTTCCCCTGCTTGTAACTACCCAACAGAAAACCCAGGAGCTGTCCCTTCTAGCCCAGCAGCAACTAAACTTCTTACATTAATTGTCATGAGGTGCTGGTAGCGGATAGAGCTCATGTTCTTGAGCATATGACCTTCATCAAAAATTGCATAGTTAAGCTTCAACCTGCGGAACAGTCCTCGATCATCTGAGCTGCTCATTGCAGAGTTGTATCTGTCAGAAACAAATATCACTTGCATGAAGTCTCTATGAAAATGAACGTACTGTTATCACAATCAAATTAAATTCTCTAATATCATTAAGAGTTATGGAGAAAGTACATGAGGGGCAGTAAAACTGCCTGGAAGTAACTAACCACAACACAGTTTATTACTGGCAAATTATTTCAGTTTACTTGATGAGCCAATGCTCTCAATAACACTTGCTAAAAATCTGCTGAAGTCTATTACAATGTAATATTATCTGTAATATACATGCTGACAGACACATATCTAAAACACCTATGACACAGCATCTCTTACATAATCATAAAACCCTAGTTAACCATTATCGGAAACCCAACTCCTAAAATTGTCTGGTTTCTTGTACCACTAGAGGTCAGCAGGACCTCACTAAAGCTCCCCATTTGTAGTGTTTTAACTGTACTTACGTAGTCACAATCACATTGAAATCAACTACTTTATTGTGAATGTCCAACCTGAGATGCTTCCTATCTTCTTGGGATCCTAAAGAAAGACAAAACATAAAATTACTACAATTATATATAGTTATATACATGTAACAATTAAAGACACTGCAGAGAAATCACTCCTCAATAAATCTGTGTACTTCAACAACTGTCTTATAACAGCACTGTCATGAGCAATTCGTCTTTTCTTACACTGGCCATGCAAGCAACTGCATTACTGGATTAATTTCTTAACTAGATTCCTCACCATAGTAAAAGAGGACATTCAGTTCAGGACACCACAGATGAACTTCTCTTATCCAGTTATCTGTAAGACAACATTAAAACAAAACCCAAGTCATTTATACTTTATTATGTCTTGCTGTTTCATACCTCAGCATCTGATTTTAATGCAAATCTCTTTAAATTCTCCTGAAGGTTAAGAGACATTTGGTCTTAATACTGGAAAACTGATAAGTAAGAAACTGAGTCAACCCCAACTGAGCTTTAGTAACTCAACTAGTTTGCTCTTTAAACTCCTGCAGGAACAGGCCCTGCACCATCTGTAACCACTGTGTGAAATAAATACAATGTGTAATTTTGTATCTTGGTTTCTTCCCTAGACAGTTAAATCCCCAGAAAGCAAATCACTTAATCTGTCAGTACTTGCCTGCAGAAGTATATCAGCAGGAGAGACAGTGCCTCTGGGAGCAGGCAGAGGCCTGACGTCCCGGCTGTGCAGCTCCAGGTGCGCAGCAGCACAGTGGCCACAGGCAACACGGCTGTGCCCCAGGGGAAGCTGCTTGACAGCCAACACAAACGCTGACTCCAAACCACAGCAGAAGGGGGATGCTGCTAAATGCCACTTGGGAAGGGGAGGGACCCAGGTCAGGGGTGAGAAGACACCTCTGGAAACATGTCAGGAAAACTGCCAGCAGACTGCACTGCCCAGGCATTGCCAACCTGCCTCTACAATTGGGACTCTAAGACTAACTTGACAAAAGCACTTTTGTTCACGTACTTACGTACGCCTCAGGTTTCAACTAATATATGAATCATTAAGAGTTGTTTTAAAAAGTGTGTTCCAATGGAGTTTGAAAGCACACTAAAAATGAGGATTTCAAAATGAAGTTGTATAACTGGAAACTTTTCTGATGCATCTAGAGAAATTTCTGAAGCCAAATAAGTATTTTATATCAAAAGCAGCATTTACTTTCTAAATTCATCTTGTTACTTCCCCCATCATTCAACAAATCCAAATTTTACTCCATCAGGAACCATTTTCTGCTCAATCTCATCCATTCTGGTAACATTTCATTCCACTATACTCTTTCCAATTTCAACTGAGGCCATAAAACAATCAGAACACACAAGTAAAACACAACTTCATCATTTTAGGATTTTCATCTGCTTTGACAGATGCCGTGCAGTAAAGACGAAAAAAGACACTGAATGTTTAAAATGTCATGAAACTTAACCCTAAGCACAGCCTGGAGACTAGCAAGTTCAGCCAATATTCAATAAGTAAAAAAATGACTTTGCTACACAAGTTCAGATTATAACAAGCAGCTTCATTTTTTTTGAAGCAGACAGATCATCTAAAAAAGTTCCATGCTAAGTCTAATTAATTCAGAACAAGCATGCCTGCAGTATGGTCTGCATTCCAATTCAAATTACTTAAGGAGCTGAGTACCATCATAAGCAAATCAAAGTTTCTTTCATTAAATTATCTTTGCTTTACAATATGTCCATGACTGGTTTGGTTTTTCTTCCCCTAACAAAAGTATTTCTGAAGATTGTAACTTACCTAATGTTGAAGCTGGTACAACTATCAAATGGGGACCTTTATTGCCCTCTTGGTAAAGATAAGCCAGAAATGCAATAGCTTGAATTGTTTTCCCTAAGCCCTAAGAGAAAATAAATCCATTTAAACAAAATTTACAATTTGCATGACATAAAATAGTTTTGAATTCATAAGAAAATTAGAGTGTAGTGATGGCCCAGTAAAGATGAGAGATCTGATTAGAAAATTTGTTCTGATTAACCAATTTTACAGAAGACGATTCCTTCTTAAGTACAACCTCAGTCAAACTTCATTATCATTCGGCTCAGTATTTGAACAAAGATTCATCTTTTCAATTAATGAAGTCTTTCATTTTAGTTCAAGTTCATCCCTCAAATAATCTCCAAAAATTTACCTTCCTGAACCAATGGTGCAGAAAAATGATAACTTGGAAACTAAATGCTTATTTCCATTTGAGACAGTTGTACAAAGAGTATTCCAGCTATTTCTGAAGTAGAATTTAATATGAGAATCAGATTAAACATAAGCCTACATTTCCACCAACACTCACTTTTCCTGTTTTCTGCGTCATGAATTAAATTTTTGCATCTACCACAAAGCACCCATATTCTTACTAACATGAAACATACAGAAGTTGAGAAACACTGCCTAAATCACAGTAAGGCAAAGCAGTGCTTTCATTCATGGTTCATCAGAAGTCAAACAGCAGGTGGGATTAAAAACAACAGACTACAAATTCAGCAGCTGCATCAGTAAGTTTTTTCCATTGTACAACTACAGGCATTTGTCAGCATTTAACAAAACTTCAAACCCATAAGCTTGTCTCTCTTAGCTCAAAGTTGATGGGGAGTGTCATGACAAGAGATGGTGGAAATGCTTCTTCTGGAGAAGCAGCGAAGGCTTCTACCACCCACTTGGTTTTTCCTGTATTGTTATCTGCCTGTTTGGAAACTGATGAAGAAATGGAGACAACTACAGAAAGAAATGGGGCTCACTACACTAAATGCTGGACAAGTAGAACGAATTATATTTTGGGCAAGGAGCTGTTAAACTCAATGGTTTGAAAATAACCTGCTGTGGTAGAAACCGGTTCCATTGCATTGGAAGACACCATGTGACTTCTAAGTGCTCATGAATCCTAGGCTACCTTTAATTTCCAAATGGAAAGGAGTTCAGCAGCTTCTAACATCTTGGAAATCTGTTTGCAATTTAGGATTACTTATCTCGCTGAGGTTTCTAGGCAAGAATTTAACAAGATCTTTCTTGCAAAATTTTAACGATTCTAAAATAAGCAGTTTGATACTTACCATTTCATCAGCCAAGATGCCATTCAATCTGTGCTTATACAGCAGTGCTAACCAGTTCAAACCAATCTTCTGATATGGCTTCAGTTTCAAACTGTTAAGAACAATCAAATTTATTACCACCTTTTATTTGTTTCTCCATAAAACACAACTTTATTTACACTTATGGCAGGTTTAACACTGGCTTTAGTTTAATGCACTCCAGACTTCTTTGTGTAGTGAACAACATAAGTTTCTTTATCAGTCACCTGTACACAAGCTAAGTTGCTTATCTGCATTTTCACAGACCTAAAATGATCAAAGTGAGTGACACAAGAAATACTTCTCTTCTACCATCAGTAACATACAACCAGATAAAAGCAGTTACAGAAATACTCATTTCTAAACTACACAATTAATTAAGTGGCATTTTACAGTCACATCCCTGATTTTGCACTGTTGTACAATTACTGTTTGTGTCAGCACCAAAGAAAAACCCAAACATACAACCCACCAAAACACACTTAACAGCAAGTCGCCCAGTTCAGCACTTCCAAAGAAGAAGCACCACTGACATCCTTCCTCCTAAGACTTCCTGCTTCTTGCCAGATTTTATTTCACACAGCTGAGAATCTTCTGATTCCAGCTGGAATTCTAGCTGCTACTTTGGCCATTCCCACTACAACCCTGCATTTCCTAACCCTTAGAATAATACCCTCAACCATATCCATTATCCATTCCTCCTAATACCCATTTGGAGATCCTTGCCAATTTAACTCTCTGAAAGAAATCCTTTCCCACAACACACCCCAGCTGCCACTACGACTGGATACAGAGTTTCAGATTACCTGGTACACCTGAAATTCCTGACAAATGTCTTTCATCCATCTGATAAACCCACCCAGTTTGCTCAGGTTTGTTCCAACTCAGCATTTTTGCAATGGAATCCTATTTGAAATCTGTCCCCCATTACAGACGCAGGTTTGCTTTGGTTTTTATTTGAAATAAGTTGACAACTCATGATTCCATTGCTTAAGGTTGGTTGTTACATTCACCAGAAATTGGAGGAAATAAAACACTGTTCTAATTTTTTATGCTCTGATCCTGCCCACCAGCATTCCTGATGCACTTAAAAAATCTGTTAGATTCTATAAGGTGTTACACATCACTACCCAGCTCACTGAGAGCTACTAAGTATCAAAAAATCTGCAACTCTACTTTCAGACTACAGTTCTGAAAATCCCAGTCTTCAAGCACACCTTAGTGTCCAACACCCTTCTAAAGTATAAAAAGAAGAGATACCTGCGATTCAGAATGGAGGGCTGCTCTATGTTCCATCCACATTCTCCATCTCTAGTAATCCTGGTTACCTGTTTTGTCAGTTTATTGGAAATGTCTTCACATTTATTCATGAGCTTTAGAACCACCTCCCTCTCCTTCAGCAGTATCTTGCAGTTCCACACTATATCTTCTGACAAACCAGAAGTCTTCGTCATTTTAGTAAACTGCAAAATAATAATAAAAAAAAGTCTATGAACACCGGTAATAGCACTTGCAGTGAAAATCCACAGTTGCTGCAGGCAGTAATTCAAGCAGGAGACAGAAACAGCATCTCAATCTTCTCTCAAAATTCTAAAGACTTGGCCCACTGCAAACTGTGTGAATCCACACTGAAGGTTATCATTGCAGCTCCTCACATTATGGAACTTGAAATCTTAATTGATAAAAATTCTCTGAAGAGTTTCTAACAAACTACAATGCTTTAAACTCAAAATCCTTAACAGGAGGCAACATACAGTGCAAAACCCCACAAGGAAGGAAAAAAAGGCACTGATTCTCATTGAGATGCCCTTTTAAACAAACCCTATTAGATACTAAAGGTAGAAGATGCATCTCTCCATATCTTGCAGAAGACAAAGGTAGGTATCAAGGCAAACAAATGAACCTATAATGAAGGTTACTACATTTTGTTATGGGTCTGTCTGGGGCTCAGCATTACTTGGTTCCAGACCTAACTCTACCACAAAGGTAGTCAAAGTGGTCTTTAGCATTGTGCCAGGTTTTCTGTGGTCACCGAGTACTGCTAGCACAAAGAAGCCTTACTTCCACCACTGGCTTCTTCAAGTCCACACTATACACACAGTGTATTTCCTTCCTCTAAATTTTGGTCTTCATCACAGTATGAATATTTTACATGTCAGAGACTAGCAGCCTCAAGTTGTATCAAAACAGGCCCCTCAGGCCCATTGATTTCTCCTAAATTCCATGTAGACACACCTGCAGAAAGTGTAAAACCTACCACTAAATATATTTCTGCAGTAACTGGAGTCATATTTGTAGTTATTTTCTTGAGTGGTTATGCATATTTCACTGTAAGAACAGGCTTTTTTTTTGTTTATTAATGGATTTAAAGAATTGAACAATGCAAGCTGCTTTGGATTCAGCATTCTTGTATTAAAACAGAAGTAGTTTTCAAACAGATTTTTCTGAATTTTAGCCCTTAAAATCTAAATTTAGCACAAGACTTCATATATATATATATCCTCCAAGAATTCCTTCTATAAAAAAAGGAATGATCCAGCTATTACGTATTAAGTAACTCACCAATATTGCCACATTGCAGAGTAAAAGCAAGTTTTGTTAAGGTGAAGACTATAACCAGATTAAAAATAAAATTTAAAAACAGCTTTCATTAGAAAAATATTTTTAAAATAAAGAGAGTGAGGCAATTACAGTTTGGGGGTATGCTTTTTTTTTGTCTTTTTTAAACAAAACCCAGAAAGTTTACCAACACTCATAGGTTAGACCAGGCTAAGGTGCACATTTCAACACCTGTAAAGAAATTTTCTAAATAGACACCTCTATTTAGAAACAAAAAAAGAACACAGTTTTTAATAGGTCCCTACAAAATTTCGACATTTGTTTTGATGACTAAAGCTTTGGTTGGCATGAACAGAAATCCTGTAATCCATAAATAAAGGTGTGGAGAATTGAGCCATCTGTTATTAACAGAAATTGTATTGTTTCATGTCAGCACATTAACATCCACGTCCAAGTTGCAACAAGAAATACTTTAGCCACTGGTTTGCATGTGAAACACAGGGTGTTACCCTGCTCAGAACTCAAAGCAGATGCATGGGTGGCCTTTACTTTCTAGAGGTTCTGACATCCTCCCAAGTTCAGCTTTTTTCAAATGAGCCCCAAAAATGTGAGACCATCATGGAAACTGAACCCATGAGTTTTCCCAGCACACCTGGAACTGCCACAACAGCACACTCTAGCTGGGCTTACTTTACACCACTTGCAAGATGATGAAGGCTTTCCCTTTAATGCCTAAGGGTGAATGTCAGCCTCAGCCTCGATCAAGCAACACCAGTTCCACTGTAAGCAGTTTCCCATTGCTACCTTGATGCATTTGCTGCTTCCTTCAGCTGGCTTTGGTGCAATGTGGTTCTGGAGTTTGGTTGTTGTGGCAGTTTGTACACGTGCAGGGAAACAAATTGACAAAAAAGGTGGAGCTGCTCGCCTTTGAGTCTGTACCTCCTAGCTCATACTGCTGCAGTGTACCGAATATGACAGACAAGTACATCCACCTCTGACAGCTCAGTTCTCCCATTCCCCTAAAAGTGATGTACTTGTGTCAGCATTTCAATGTAACACTTTCCATCTGCTTAACTTGTGTGTATTGTGTAAGAATTTCTGTAGACCATGAAGTCTTTAAATGCTAAGTAAGACAGCGTATTTTGTGATAGAGTAATACTGTGAATAACAAAAGTGAGAGGATACAGCAAGTCTCACACCAACACATATGTTTTTACACTAAAAGGAATCCAAACAGGTAACAGTTATACACCTTAAAAAAAAAAGAAACTGAACAGCATTAAACCCGTTCCAGTTCCTCTCCCACATTTACCAGAAGAAGCAGAAAAGTGCAAGACCACCAACCCAGACCCCAAAGCTCAGCTCCTCTGGGAGCCAGTCTAGGCTCTGCTTTCGTTTCTTGGCACACAGTGAAAGCAGGCAGGTACTGCCCCTTACATGACTGTGCTCACAGCCTCTCTGCTGAGAAATGGCACTGAGCGCTGCCATTTCCAACACTGGGCAATTCCACAGTTGGGAAATGAGAGCACTCTTAAAATATAATTAAGCGCCAGCAAGTTTTATAGAGGAGTTAGGATGAGGAGGAAGGGCAATTGGTGCCCAGAAGTGCTTCCATGAAGGAAAGTAATCATGCTGTCTGCTGGCCCACAACGTGTGCCAGTGGGGTATCATCAGGATCTCAAAGCAAACAGGAGAGAGAGGGGTGAGAAGCCAACACAGGAGACTGAGGGGAGACCTCACTGCAGTTACAACTTCCTCACAAGGGGAACCAGAGATGCAAGCACAGATCTTTTCACTGTGGTGACTAGGGACAGCACATGAGGAAATGGCCTGAATCTGTGCCAGGGAAAGTTGATGTTGGATATTAAGAAAAGGTTCCAGGTCTCCTCCTGGAAAATGTACTTGACCTACAGGGTAAGCATTTCTAAACTGCCAAATTAATTAATCTTTGTGAGCAAGGACAATTTCAGCTCTCTCCATTTAGTTTGAAAACCATGTCTAGTAAATATTTTTCTATGTGTTTTATGCATTATGCATTACTAGATCAAGTTAAACACTTGAAATATCAACCTCAAAGAGTAAGTATTTCCAAGTGCTCTTATTAACCTTATGAGCTTATGAAATTAATTTAAATCCTCTTTGAAACAAAATAGCCTAGTCCAACTTAAAAAAACTTTTGTAGAATAAAAAAGACAATCTCATTTATATTTTCCTGGAATAAAACATCCAATTTACAAATAAGTAGGCTTTAGTTTTAATCTCAGACTGAGAGTCTTAATATCTTCCTTAATTCTAATAAAGAACAAGTGGTAACAACTTGTACTTCACATTGTGTTACACGAGATACCATTACAGTAAAAAAGAGATTCAAAACAAAACCAATTTCTTTAATGCTTTAACTGAATTGGCTCTCCCCATTATTCTAACCGTCCTTATTAATTGGTAGGAAAAACACTAGGTTACTGAGCTACTGAATCTTTATAAACAATTAAATCCACACTGATATAAAACATCTGCTAAAATCTGCTGCAAACCACTTCTACTCCGGGCAAGTATTCACAATACTACATAAACATGTGGCTGCTGACAGCAGTAATCTTCGTGAAAGAAATTCTGAACGAAAACAGGCCCATGCAGCATTTTTTTTTACTGTAAAATATTTAACACAGAAAAGCAGAAGAGCCCTGTAGCAAATACTTCTGCAAAGAATTAAGCTCAGACAAAATCCAACAAGTTTAGAAAGTAATAGCTGTATGACAGATGTTCTGTGAGAAGCCAAAGGCTTGGGGCAAAACGGATTTCTTTTGCAGCATACCAGTATGTTGTATTTTTTTCACATATCGTCCTCTTGTCTCCCCCCCCCTCCCCTTACAACACAACACACAAAGATCACTTTGTTTTTCTTAAAATTTGGTTTAGTATCTCTTATTCTTTTGTAGTAATATATTTCACACACTGAATAATAAATGTTATTGTTTTACAAATATTGAAAAAGTTCTTGCATACATCAGTAGGGGGGGTTCAGAAGGCACACTGATGAAAAAACACCAAATTATTCTGTAAAAAGGCCTGTGCACAGTTGCTGCTTTAAAATCCAAAGCACTAATAAATTAAATCAAGACAATCTGCTGTAATGCATTTCGAATTTCTTACCAGGACATTGCTCTCAGCAGGTCTGAGGTCTTGCAGTTAAAACTGTATGAAATGTGAAGTCTACAAACAAGCCATGGTAAACATCTGAAAGTAACAACAAAGCGACAGTAGATAATGTACTTACCAACAAGATACTGTTTTCCCTTCTGGGGCGGATTGTGGCTTAGCCTTCTGATGCTTTACCTTTCATTAATAAAAACAGCAGCTCATTCCACTAAAAATGGCTGCATTGCTTAGCTAGCAAAACCATGCTAGACACTAAGCTGCAGTAGAATAAAAGCACAAAAGAAAAAAAAGAGAACGACCATTTCTTGCCTGAAACTGAAAATATCCATGCTGGCTTCTTCAATCATGGAGCAACCCTGGAAGCTGCTGCTGCTGCTACACAAATGTCTGCAGTAAAGGTCCTGCCACATTCTTCCCTCCTGCATGGGTTTTCAGCTACAGGAGCTCAGAACAGGCTAGCAAACACCTCCTTCTCAAGTGAAAGCTCTAATTTCTCCTTCTGCAGCGAAATCAACCAACTTTCTGTGCTACAGAGTGAGTGACAGTAATGTCAGCCAATCAGCTTGAGTTTTCCAGAAAAATCACCCCTTAATTCATTCAAAATCAGGTCATATGACACTATTTGAAATGCTATTGGCTTAGGAGGAACATAGCATTTCAGCTTAATGAGGATAAGGCCACCCATCTAAGCCTCCCTAGGCTGAAGCCACCTTGACTCTAGGCAGGCAGGGGATAGGAAAGGAAGAATGCAGACCTACCAGAGCCTCCCAGCTGTTAAAGGGCCGGAGTGCTATTATCTTCTGAGCCTTTTTCTGAGAACACTGGGGAATCAGAGTCAGTTCACTCAGGGAAGCATCCTGCAGGAAGCTGAGGATTTTAGCTTTGTAGCTATCCTCCATCACTTCATCACCGCTGCTGTAGTCCTCATCCAGGGAGCTTCCACCGTCTTCAGAAGAGGACTCATCCTCCACATGATCTGTTTCTCTCTCAGCACTCAAAATGCTCCTTTTGACTTTGTCCTTTTTCTGAAAGCCATTCTGCTCTCTCTCAGAAGCTTTCTGCTTCATCTTATCTTTACTCTCCTCGCTTGGGGTTTTAGTAGAGGCTTCGGTCCAGTCAGCAACTTTCCTTTTGGGAGGAAATTCCATACCTATGCATGCAACACAGAAGGTAACAAGTCAATGCATATTGGTATGGGGCTGATGAAAACATAAATTGTTCTTCAAAATAAAACCTACAGCTCTGTAAAACACAGTTCTGATATTTAATATACAAGAACTCAAAGCAGGTGATCCTAAGAGAACAGAAAAGCAAATCTGTATAAAATATGTAAATAGCTCTAACTGTGAGTACAAGGTAAGTAAAGCTCATTTGTATAATACTCAAATAACAGAAAGGTTTAAGTATCTTAAAATACAGATGATCAACATAATGTAATACTTGTGAACTGCAGAAGCTCTGAATTAGAGCAAACAGCTAAGAACTCTGATGAGAACTTAAGATGCGATACTGGTCCCACTGAACCTGACTGCAGATATTAATTCTGCTGACTTGAGAAAACAAGCCTTCTTTCACCAAGGAAATGATACATTTTTTCCATTTCAGTGCACTGTAGTACATGATTCAGGGTGGGACAATAAAAACATGCATTTGCTAAAAATAAAAAACCCTCAAATATTGAGGCATCTCCAACCAAAATGACTCAGCTGCCTTAAAGTAAGACAGAAGGTATTTAACTGAATGCAAGCAAGTAATTTTCAGAAGTGCCTTGTAAGGGTTTTGATTCCTTCATTGCTAGAGAGCACTTGCAGTACAAAGTTTCTCTTCTCTCCCATCCCAGCTTGCTGCTGATTGAGTCCAACCCTGACATTTGCCTTCTCAGAAGCAGCAGCAAGGATACAACTTCCTGAACACTGTTAGCTCTCTTCACTTGTAAAGAATCCAATTAAGAACACTACCCTGTCCCAAGAACACTTAAATAGCTGATACAGCAAAGCATGTACATATCTGACAGCTGTGTAACACACTGGAAAGCAATCAACTCATTAAATAGGACTTAAGTTATAACTTGCAGATTTACTTGGAATCACTGAGTTTGCTCCCTGCCACGTTTAAAGTAGTGGGATTTACAGACTGGTTGCATAATTCAAGGCCTGCTTCTAGTACATTGCTCTCCTAGAATACATTTAAAATTGACAAAATAGCATATATTACTTGTTAACTACACAGTTATTTGCAATTACTGGTTTGGAAACCAGTAATTTACAAATAGTGCAGTTAAAAAACACACTTCTTTTAAAGCAAGCAGGAAGGGAGCATGTATCAGCTTTGACATGTACCAAAATATATTTTAAGAGATACCCATAGGTAATTACAACTTTTTATACCTATATGTATTAGCAGGGCAAAGATATTTATCCCTAGTTGGAGACCAAAAATAGAAATACAGAAAAATTTATCTTCCTTCTTTTATCCTCCCTGTAATACTGGATTTCAAACTGCAAGTTTCTAGACATGGTGCTGTCAGGACTGTCATTGCTGAACATTCAAAAATATTTGCATTACAAGCCTGTTTTGTTGTTGGATAAAAATGAATTATAAATCTGTCTTTACCCTCCTCATCATCTGCAAATATTTTCAGGGCCTCCAGTGCATCATGAAACACCCAGTTATGTTCCTCAAGTACCTCTCTCAGCTCCTAGTAAAAAATAAGACATTTGCATTGTGGTGAGATAAGAGCAAGTTAAATATCTGTGCCTAGTAATGTCAATCAAATAAAACCCCTGTAAATCAGATTACTCAAATAAATGGAAAGCAAAATGAGAAGACCCTTCAGTTTCTTTGTACACTCAGTTTAGGCAGAGCTGCATTCCACTTTTCAAAAGTGTAAGAACACACACGAACAAGCTTTGCTTCCAACAATTTCAAGCACAATACTGAAAGGGCTCGAGTAGCCACTGAGGACCATCAGGTACTAAGGTAATATCAAGTGCTAAATATGTTTAGCAGTCTGGGGGAGAGTAAGAAAGGGAGGGATCACTTCCTCTTGCATTTTTATAAAAAGTCATCAAATTTGACTATGCTAGGCTTGTCACAGGGCAAGAAATGTAGGAAGAGAAGTTTCACATAGTCCTAACCACATCCCACAGCTCAGGACAATTTACATTCTAAAAGCAGCAACAGTAAAAGCCTTCCTACCCTGGGCTCTTTCTGGAAGTGCTGTCGGTAAAAGAGCTGTTTCATACGGACTATCAACAGCTGAAGTTTTTTTAAGAGCTCAAAACCTGATGTGCCATAGGGAGACATCAGCTCACCTCCTTATCCAATCCAGGGAATGTACTTTGCAACTTCTTCACAAGCATCTCTTGCCTCTCCCATTGTCTTTTGGGTTCTGAATCATCCAGCTATGTTAAAAAAGGTACCCATTAGGTTTAATATTCATTACAATTATAGAAACAGAAGAAAACCTCATCAGTATTGTTTATCCTCAAAGAGCTACTCTAAATGACAAAGGCATTTAAGACAAATTCAAGCTAGCCAATAGTCTATGATCAAGGACCAAAAGTTTCACAAATATAGGTAATGTCTTCAGTCATGAAAAACTGGGACTCTTTACTTGATAAGCATACACAGTGCAGTTATATACCAAAATATGAAAAATTTAGAACTGTCTAGTTTGTTTTGCTTTAAAATCAAAAGTCATTAGCAATGCTGGACGATACTTAAGGCAGAAGATCTCAGGGTTGGTGATTAGATTAGCTTACTAAGCATGTGGTGTTTAACACACCACAGCCTACAAACATGTTAAATGGTGAGTTTATATTAAGATTTATGGGTAAAAAAACCCAAAAATATTACGTCACAGCATCACAGAGTCATATCAAAAACTGGTAGGACTTTTCATTAACAATAGCTCCTATCCGTAACAGCTACTACCAGCCTGGCAAAATGGAAGTTAGCAAGTGCTAAAACTTCCATGGGCCAAAAGCTGTTCTGCTTTGTATTCACCACAAAGAACCACACAAGTTTCTTCCTAAAGCTTTGAATGCAAAGTGGTTACAGAGCTACTTGTCTACATAAGAGATACCAGTATTTACTTTGTTGAAAGAGTACAAACCAGGCAGTTTGAGTAACAGAGGACATTGTTACTTTCCTCAGTGAGCCTTAATGTCACTGAGAGAGCAGCTACAGTTCATAGAAGAGCTGCCCAGTATTCTCTGGTCTTGGGAACCACATGGAAAAGCAAGATTAAGAAAAAAACCTGCAAGTTCTTACTATGGTTTTCTAGAATGAGTTCCAAAAATCCGTATTCCAAGTTTGGTTTTTTCTAACCCTTCCCCCTTTAATTGTAATGAAATTGTTAAGAAGAAAAATCAAGTTGATATATAAAACCAGGTCCAGCGGAGCATTGCTTGCTAGGTTGGCTGGTTAACAATTAACTAAAGCCTCCTTTCATAACCAAACCCAGGGGTTTGGTGAGGAAGAACAAACCCAGACCACCTCTCTCCTTCAGGAAGAAGGAATTACAAATGAGTTGCAATATTTTTGCTTTAACAGAGAACTGTGTTTTCTTTATTTGGTTCTGTCTGAGGACAGTATTATCCTAAATTTCAACACAGTCACCCTCCTTAATCCAGCCTCCAGTATTTATGTAGAATTCCCTTTCTCTATGTAAGTGGCTTTCAAGGATGTCTACTGGGATGCCTGGAGGATGGCCTCATAATAGCAATATAGGACTGTACAAATCTACCAAATACCATCCTGAATGCACCAGGATCATGACACAGTTCCCATTTATTAGCAGAGGTCAAAGTAGTCATTCTTTTAAATGTAACCAATTCATTATTTTTAAAGATTTCCCCAAGTCATAGTTTCAATTATATAAGTAACATCTATAAAAAAGACTAGCAGTAGATATAGCAAAAGATGTTACCTTCATGTGCTTGAGGAAATACAAGGAATGACCTGAGGAGGAAAAGCCATCCAGAGCCTGTAATTTTCACTCAGAGCCTCACACACTGCTACCTCCCATCAACTACTTCCACCAAAAGCAGTGGACTGGCCAGTGTGATATAAACCCACAAGCTCTAAAGAACAAATCATTCATTCAGAATGTCAACAATTTAAAAAGTACAAAAAACTCATCCAGATGGCAAGATATGATTTGACTTAATTTTCTGATAAAAGTGACCACTGTCACACAGTCAGACAGGTAATTCCATTTATTTTACAATGCACAAAGAGAAAAGCACAGTACTTACATAACTAACTTTTGACTTTTTTGCAACTCGCTCATTTTTGGTTTTGCAATTTGTGGGAGAATCTCTTTCTTTCCTTTTACTAGAGGCAGCTACAAAAAGAATTGAGATGGAAAAGAAAAATTAGTTCCTTTCATTAAGTTCACTCCAAAACAGCAGGATATTTTACTTACTACAATGCAGTAGCTACTTGTTACCTGCACAATGCTTACCATAACTTACTCCACAAGTTTCCTACTACAGACCAGAGACACATTGAAACTTGAAGCAAAGCAGATGCTTGAAGGTACATGCCTATTTACCTCTATCTTCAGCAGTCTGGCAATTAATCAATTACCTCTCATATACAACAACTGAAATTGCATTTTATTCTTATTTTTTTAATAATTGCCACATGTTATTACACACAAGCTACATAAAGGTGTATCTGTGTCTGGTTTTATTCAAGCTGGTATTTCTTCCATCTGTGTGTTGGAATATGTACATTACTGCCAATCTGGAAGCACTGGTGACTGATTTCTGGCTCAGGTGCACACCAGAGCAGTTACCATATGCTTTTCAACATTAAACCCAGACATCTCAAAGAAAACTATGCATATTAAGTCTGTGATAACCTTATCAGTTACAAACAGTCCACATGAGCCATAACTCTGACTGTCTTTGGGCCCTGATGATTATCAAGAGATTATGATCTCAGCATTAAGGCCTGCCCAGCCAGGTGCACTTCCACACTGCTGCTGTGCATGGCTCATGAAGGCAAGAAGACATTACCAGTACTTCTGCACACCAGCTTGGCTTGAAGCAGCATTATCAGAAAAAATAGTTGTGAAAATTCCTAGTCCATGATCTGAAATGCTACTGGAAAGTAAATCTTCTCTGAACAGTAAGTGCCTGCAGAGCTTTGGTTTCTGATACCAGCATCTCTGGCCAACCCCCCCTCCCAGCCTGCCCTGGGAGACCAGTGAAAAAGAACACACACACACAAAAAGCACATTTGCCTTCCAATCCAGAAGACTGACTGGATGATCAAAATAGTTTTAACTCTGGAACATTAGGTAGCCAAATCTTCGTACAAGAAAACACTTTGTCTGGAAATACTTCCAAATAAATCTTCTACTATAGTCATTCACTCTGACATCAGAGAAGTGTCATAACAATATTGAAAAAAAATTATAAAAGCATCCCAAAGAAAAGCAAAGTACTAGCAACTCTTCCTTAAAGTAAGGATCTAGTAACACATACCAGAAAACTGTAAAGATTTTTTCAAAGTCTATGTATTTATATATATTTAGATAAAAATATCATAAAATCATTGAATTGTTTGGGTTGGAAGGGACATTAAAGATCACTTAGTTCCAAACTCCTGCTCTAGTCAGGGACACCTTCCACTAGATCAGGTTGCTCAGACCCCCATCCAACCTGGCCTTGAACACTTCAAAAAATGGGGCATAATTGAAATAATTTAAACAATACTGCCAGGAAAATGCCTGCTATTAGCTTAAGTCTGAGAAATATGTGGTTGTCTTGATATCCAAACTAGGAGCTGTAAGGCTGCTGCTGGGTCAAGCACTAGAAGTCATTGGAGGGCTTGTGCTATTACTCCTTAAGCTCAATTAACATTGTATTCAGGATGGATAATTCTCAATGTGAACAGTGACCCTGCAAACCCCTTTGCCCTAAAAAAATACACGGGCTGAATATAAGAGTATTTCAAAGATTTTCCTGCTTTTGGGTCACGCTTAGGTTCTGCTTTAGGGCTAAGCACTCAACAGCCTTTGAAGGAAGCCCCATCATGAGCAATTTTAGAGGCAATTGAACTGAAACAAAGGATCTGGAAAATCATGGTCTCAGGAACCTATAACACAGAATTATTTAAAAATAAACCAATGGTCTTTGGAAACCCATCACATTTGCAAACAACAAAAAAAAATGCCAATTTTCTGAAGACATCTACTTGGCAAAGCACACTTAACTTTTTCCTGTGCTAAGGGAGTATATGGCTGAAGGGATAAACAAACTCTTACTGTTAGATAGGAATCATCCTCAGAGTGCAGGCAGAGCATTTCAGAGGAATCCTTGCTCTCCCCATAACTTTTGTAACTAATGAGCAATGAGAAAAGAAGCTCCAAGATCTCAGACTTTAGAGGAGCATTTGTAATTATCTCTCCTGTTACTTGCTGCTACCGCTAACAAAAAAAAAAAAAAAATCCCTTTTATCACAGTGACTTTCCTCATCATGATAAAAACTAATTTCTAACTGCTCAAAAAGCAATGAATACCAGACAGATTTACATGAGGCTTCAGCTCAGAAGCACACCGACCATTTTTGAGGTTTTTAAGAAAACACCACCAGAAACAAATCACAAGCAATAGGTATTACTACAAGTTCACATCTTAGACACATATTTTCAATGAGTCATATCTAATCTTCATACCTTTACAAAATCTGACAGTTTCTTGTTTTGGCCTTACACAACTATTGAATTCAAGCTACAAATACAAGTGTTTTGTCATTTTGAAAAGACAGAATAATTCAAGGATATCATGGTCACACTTTTTTCACAAAGCTGTGCTTAGCAAAACTGTATCTTGCCTTGACCTCTCACACAGCCAACATTTCACAACAAGTAAAGCATACCTGAAATTGACACAGTTAAAGCAGATGTTCAGTAATGTCTCCTTATTTTAAAAATGTGTCCAAAATGAGGTGATTTATACCATCATTGTCAGGCATACTTATTCCTAACTAAATATTTTATACAACAGCTGTGATTAGTGAGATTTTTGCTGCCAAGAAGATTTTTCTGTGGCTCATATTAAAAGGACGTGAAACAACATTCTTAATCAACAAAAAATTGGCCAAAAGGCAGGGCCTACATACCAGAAATCAAAGTGATTTAGTTCAAACACTGAACTGCAACAAAGTTTAAGGATATACAGTATCTTAAATTGGATTAATATTTATCAAAACCCTCATAAAGTAATCAGTCTTCCTGGAACAGCAACACTCAGTGTATTTCTCAAAATATGCCAGCCTTGTTCCTATTGCCAGTACCCAAGAATTTCCATCTATAGAATCTGACCATGCACACAGTGATGAACTCAAAATGATGTTTATATCTGGTTGGTTAAAAAAAAAACATCAAACAACACAAAACACAAAAGCATCCATTCTCTCAAATTAGTCTGAATGTTCCTAAAATTTCTTGGAAGTTGTCAAAAATCTTTGCACTTGTATATGAAAAGAAGAAAATGAAAATGCAGTAAGTACAAGGGAGAACCTAAATAAGCAAAAAATTTTGTACTTTACAAACAGAAGTAAAACAGTTCTCCCTCAGCCTACACTTCCTCCTAGACAAGCTCCAAATCCATAGGTTCCTGCATGAAAAAGATGCATTAACTACTCAAAACAACTAAATCATCAAGTGATCAGAAATAGCTTTTTCCAGCATTTCAACAAAGATCCCTCTGGAAAACCTTGGACAGCTGAACTGTAAACAGATGATTGATCTGCTTTCTAAAAAAATCAGAATTCCACTCTTCCCTGACTAACTCAAACAAATCAAAAATATAAGACAAGACTTAACCCTGGACTTGGGTGATGTGAAGGAACAAACCCACAGCCCAAGGACTATGACCCTTTAACACATCTAACACTCAGAACATATTCCCACAAAATGTGTTGGGCTTTTGGTCTAGCTTTGTTTATTTTGGTAACAGTATGAGACTGCATAAATTGAGATGCAGAACATACACCCCTAAATAAGGTCTGAGGGTTCAAAAGCATGGTTTGGGTGACATTTTGCTAGAGAACCAGCAGGATCTGTCTAATGTTCGACTAACAGTTCTTATTCCGAATTACAAGCAGGTCTTGAAAGCAACCAAAAGAAAAAAACTGCAATGGACCTTGATACAAACAATATCTACTTATTAGTAACTACAAACCCAGTATATTTTTTCCATACTACCAGACTGCTCACCTAGAACATTACTTCTGCTGACCCGTTACTATTTGCCTCAAGTTCTGGACAAAGAAGGAACCAGCAAGAACAAAATCACGTAAGAAACCCCAAGCAAAGCAATCCTGAGCTTCACAGAACAAATTCTCCATTCTGGTTTTATTTGCAGATTTTGGTCCACATTCTCTTTTCATCTTTCTCCCTGCAAAGCCTGTAAATTCAGCTTTGTGGTATTACAATAAACAAACAACATTGCAACTTTTAGCAGAAGCTTTATCACTTTTTAAACAGTTCCCAACCAATCTCACTGAATTAACTGGTTTCTAAAGTTTGGCTTTTGTTTTTGTCTTGTGGGGCTTTATTGTTAAACATACCTTTGTCATTGAGCTTCAAGCCAGCAGCTACTGCTTCATCCATTGTGCATGCTGATTCTATCAGCTGCAAAACAAAAAAAGGCAACTGCTAAGTGGAGAAATTTAATCCAGTTGAACAGAGGAAGACAATGCTGGATCAGCTGTGACTGAAAAACACTTTGAAACCTCCCCCCTCAAATATATATGTATTAGAAAATCAAAAAACAAAACCAAGAGGTATCAAATTAACACTTTGAATACAATGTCATTTATTAACACTTTCTTCCCTACTTCACAAACATACTCTGCAGATTTACTTAGAAGCTTTCTTCCAAAGACTATTCAATGTTCCTAACACAAAATGAGATAATAAAACCCTCTAATTTATCAACTCATAAAGTGTCTGAAAACTATTGTGATGAACAGGTACATTTCCTGTAAGCACATGGATGAAAAGCATAATGGGCCTCAAGGTTTATCAATACATCCTTGCAGTCCTAGATTGTTCCTCCATCCACATGTAATCTCAACATAGATCTGTTTTACAAACTGCATGTTGACACTTTTAGAAGGCTTTCTGCAACTGAGGTAATGGCAACAAAAGCAAATGGCCTAAATGTTACAAATATGAAAAAAACACCCACAAAAAATGAAGTTAGGAGGAATCCTGATTCTCAAGTATCAGTCTACATTTAGAAACAGCATCTTACAATTTTGCTACAATGGCACAATTTCTTTTTCAGAAGGCTCACAATTTTTTTTCCTTAATAGCTTTCATCAGTTATGTCAAGTTTGGCAGGACAGTCTATTTCAGATCTTTCATGAAGGAACAACAGATTTGCTTGATAGTCCTCTGCCCACCTTAAAAATGTTGCAGCTATGTAACTGCAGAAAAAAAAAATCTGCAGTCTCCATTTTCCACAAAGTTTTGCTGATATAGGAGCTATCTTGCATTCTCCTGAAAACATACATCATCAGCCTCACATGCTGCTCAGTAGCTAAGTCACAAAACAGCAGTTAGACATATCACACAGCATTTCTAGCAAGTTACTAAGCTACAGTGAACTTTTATCATTCTTTGAATCAAATAAATTCTAGGCAGCCAAAAACTAAAAAAGATATATTCTGGACATACACAACAAATTTTAATTACAATGTTCAGGAGAAAAATTTAAAAATTCCTACTTACAACCCTTCTGTTCTTCCCAAAATAAAGGGAGCCTAAGCACAAATATCTTGATCCACTGGGAAACAAAACAAAACTCCAGCAAGAAGCACCAATAAAATGTGTGTATTTCTTCAATGCCATTTCAACAACCAGGAAACTTTACAGACTAATTTAAACACATTTAGCTTTATAAATAAAAGCTAGTGAAAGCCTTGTACAGTACTAAAGGTATTTCACTGTAATGAGCTACCATACCTCACTTGCAAAGAGTTAGCTGTAGATTTTTATGGTACACTGGACAATGGCCAAGAGTTCCCACATCAGCTTAATCAGAATACATTACAAAAAGTTCAAACATACCCTTTGCCTCACTGGAAGTACTGAAGTCTTTGCATGTTAAATGTCATAAATGCAAGCTTGCACAGTGTTGCATCTACTGGAAGATGGCAGTGATTCCACTCCTGCATTTCATCAGTTAGCTCATTACAATAACAGCAGTTACCAATAGTTATCAACTGAGACAGCCATAATTAAGCTTAAACATTACAACAAAGAAATACTTGAAAAATTTTCCATACACTGCAGTTCACTGTTATTGAACTTACCTGGTGGTATTTATTTGAAGTGTGTGTCTGCATATCCATTTTTATAGATATCCAAGTTCCCACATATGTGGAAACGTTACACAGCCATACTTCCCCTAAAATCTTACTTTTACCCTTTTGCTATTAATTAAACAACAATTAAGAGCTGTACTGCCAGGTTTGACAGTAGCAGGGGCTACACAGGTGGGCTTCTATTAGAAGCCACCATAAGCTTCCCTCACATCCAAGAGAGCCAGTGCCAGTCAGCTCCAAGACAGTCCTGCTGCTGGCCAAGGCCAAGCCATCAGTGACAGCGGCAGCACCAGTAGATAACAGTTATGAAGGAAAGGGGGTAAGGAAATGGGGAGGATCAACACACCTGCAGCAGGAGAGAGGAAGGAGAATTCATGAGAAAAATGACCCTGCAGACATCAAGGTCAGTGAAGGAGGGGCTGGAGGTACTCCAGCAGCTGGAGCAGAGATTCCCCTGCAGCCCCCGGAGGGGGAGGTGGAGCAGCTGTGGTAAGGCAGCTGTGTCCCTGCAGCCCATGGAGGCCAAGGTAGAGCAGAGATCCACCTGCAGCCCGTGGAGAACAGCACAGCAGAGCAGGTTCATGTCTGAAGGAGGCTGTGACCACGTGGGAAGCCCCCCCAGAAAGCAGGCTCCTGGTAGGACCCATGGAGAGAAGTGCCCATGCTAGAGTAGGTTTGCTGGCACGACTGGTGACTCTGTGGAAAGGACCCACAATGGACCAACTTTGTTCCTGAAGGACTGCATGCCATGGAAAGAGATCCAAATCTGGAGCAAGGGAAGGGTGTGATGAGTCCTCCTGCTGAGGAGGGCTGATTAACTGACTGCAGTTTCCATATCTAATTCCCAGGCACTGCTGGTGTAGGGGGAAGGAGGTAGAGAAATCACAAATGCATTTAAGCCCCCAAAAAAGGGAGGGGTAGGGGGAAGATGTTTTAAGATTTGTATTTATTACTCATTACCCCACTCTGATGTGACTGATAATAAATTAAATCTTTTCCACAAGTTGAGTCTGTTTTGCTCGTGACAATAACTGTGGAGTAATCTCTCCATGTCTTTATCGTGATGCATGAGCCTGTCATTCTATTCTCTTCCCTGTCCAGCAGAGAAGCAGAATGACAGAGCAGCTTTAGTGGGTACCTAGCATTCAGACAGCATTACTCACCACAAGACTGTACCCTGTAATGAAGTCAGAAGCTTAGAAAAACTGCCTATAAAATCCTATAAATAATCATCAAAATAAATCAAAGAACTGAGCATTATTACTTTTAATAATTCTTGGTCACTTCTCTGAGGAAAACGTTCCTTCATTGTTTGCAGCTTTGAGTCTCTGGTATCCTTCTCTAAATGCTCCTTCACAGCTGGCTGCTGCTCCCCACCATTTACAAGTGCCAGCTGGGACATTTCCTCCTCAGGCTGGTCATCATCATCATACAGTTCAGAGCTGCAATGTACAGGGGAAGAAAAAAAGAATTAAAATTTATTTTTGTTTATGAATGTTTTACTCTACCAGAACATTACTGTAAACTAACCCACCAGGATTGCACAAAATGCATTGAGATGCATTCAGTAACACTGAATCAACTTGTATGCAAAGGGATACCTCTACTCAGGACAAAGCCAGGCATGTAACAAGTACAGTGTCCTCTTTGCACTAAAGAACTTCAATTTGACAAAGGAAAGAAGAAAGGAAGAATGGACCACGGAAATACCATTACTTATCCCCATATTGTGCTAAAAAAGGTTATTGATAATTTAATAACAACCACCTTAATACAGTTTAGCTACTTGAACAGTTTCAGCTACTTGAATTACATCTGACTACTAAAGTTTATTTTAAACAGCCTTGCTAGTGTTCATTTGCCCAACAGATGAACACACATGGATTAGGTTCTTTGTAAACACTTTCCAGGAGCAGTAACAACTCTCTGTCCTAGCTCTCAGTTAGAAAGAAAATTCAAAGCTCCTTGTGCAGCATCTTAAATGCATAAATATAGGAAGAGCCTTTCTGAAATAAGTGTATTCTGAATTTACTGAAAAACTGATTATTAGAGCTAATTTGCAGGAAAAGCAATCCCTATGTATCTTTCAGGCTATTGAGTTGCACAGATAAGACTGAACCCAAGCACAGGTCTCCCATCCTCCTTCCTCCCAAAGACACATAAAAATCTCCTTTGGGGAAGGCAAAATAATTGAACCATACGGAGTTTGCTATTTAATCAGGATTTCACCATCAGAAAGGCCTGCCTGCAGGTCTCTCTACATATAGGTAAAAGACTAAAAATAAACCTGTTTTTCCTCACTATGTCTTTCTTTAGCAGTTGCAACAGGTAGATTGCATTAGAATTCTGGAAAAATATTGCTACATGTCACATACATAAAAGATACATACATGTAACTGTTTATCAAAGAATCCTTTTCTCCCTTTTCAAAAGGCACATACAGCTACCAGGACTCTCTGCATGTGCCTCTTAAAAGTAAGTAAGTAACAAGAGAGAATCCACATTATTCTTCAGTTCACCAAGGCATTGAGTTATAAGCCTCAAAACATGAATGCTACTTTCATTTTAAAAAAACACCTTAATGAAATAGCATATTAAAATCTATTGGCATTTTTCTGATCTTTTTGCCTTGGTAAGGAAGAAGGGTTGGTTTTTTTTAAAGTGCATATAAAAAAAGAAAATCCAAATGAAAATGGTGACACTTTAATTATCCTATCCTTTCCTATCCAGGAATAACATCTAGACACTTGTCAACAAAGCCAGAGTTGCATACATCATAAATCTTGTCCTCTGTGTATAATCACATTCTTATCAAGCATAAAGAAACACTCATTTAACTGCTAAGCAACTCTGACCCAAAAGACCTTGTGTTAGATTCTGCTTTCTTTTCCAGACAGCAACCCTCTGGCAGCAAAAAGTCACAGCACACTTTCTTTAGGAAACATGTGTTTTCTACTCTAAACTGTCTGCTTTCTGTTCTGTGCCTTGTTCAGAATAACGGAAGCTAGGATACCCTGCAAAAAGGAAGTAAAACCCAAAAAAACACCCCAAGATAGGCAACACATGCACTAAAATGCACAATGCAGACAATGTATTGACTGATTCCATGCAAAGCCAGACTTCAGCACAAGCCAGAGCTCCTAAGACTGGAGAGATCTCAGCTAACTCCTGCCAGACTCTCCATTTGTCACAAGAACAGCCACTTGTAACACAGCTCCGTGGGTTCTGTACACATCAGTCAGCAACTGAGTCGGCACACTGGGACAGTGTTGGGCACTGAGGTGCCTGGTGGCTACACAGGAATACTGAGGAGCACAAGAGGATGTAGTCTCATGTTCATCAATCCCACTAGGGAGTCACCTTGCTGTCCATCTCTTGCTTCCAGAAACAGCAACACAGTATAGGAACAGCAAGCAGTGGCTCTGCAAATTGCATCCTGGATGGCTTATCAGCATCAGCTCCATATGATACAAAACCACTTGAACTGCTTCCAGGTGGGACTGATCCCAGAAGCAGAGTAACTATATTTACACAGCACCACACACAAGCCAATTTGATGCATGCAACTAGCTGGCTATCTGTGTCTCCTTGCACAACCTACAACTTAAATCACAGGCAGAAGCAGGAGCTCACTTGTAACTGCTAATATTTTTCTCCTTTTCAAGTAGCTGCCTTAAGTTGAAGCTTTGGGGGGCAAACACTAAAAAAAAAAAAAACAAACAACACAACATCAGAATTTCAGATAACAGCAGCAGGAAAATGCATTACTTCACTTCTGCTGTAAACCCCCCATAACTCCATGCTCTGTATAGGACTGAAAAGCTGACAAGAGGCAATACCTGTTAAGGCTGCAATTCCCATGAAAGTTTTCTGCCCATTAATTCAACTAGGCTATCAAAAAAGCAGGTAAAACCATCCCGTTTTGCTTTGTTCTTTTGCACAAGAACATCTAGAGGGCACAATTACCACACAGACATACAACTAGCAGGGGTTCCTTTAAACTGTTGCAAATGGCTGCAGATGTCTATCTTGTCTCACCTGTTTTCTCAACATTGCCTTTTTAGCACACATACAAGCGACTCCTCCACAGTCACTCTTCCTTCCGGGCCCATTTAAAAATATAAATCTCCAAATCACTCAGGGAAGAAATAGCTTTCACTATTCATAGGAAACACACCACACAACTCATACTTAAGTTCACCTCAGAACTCATATAACACACTGAAGCTCTATTTGCTTCCCTGTCAACTATAGCTGCCTATACAAAAAAAAAAAAAAAAAAAAAAAAAAAAAAAAAAATCAACTCCAACAGTTTAAAATTAGTAAAGCAAGTGTTAAGTGTTTTATGATTAAGTTTTCAAGTTGCACTAAAAGGATTTCAGAAGGGCAAAGGCACAAATGTGTAAATAAACAAATATCACACGTTTCAACATCACAGAACTCCTCCCTCTGATAAAATGTTTTAGCAGGATACTTCTTCCCTGGAAAACCAGTAAAGTTTAGTTAGGGGCAGCTGAATCCCAAAGGAGCAAACAAGAACGCAACCTAGGCTCTGGTTTTCAATTCAGTGTTTGAACTTGGAACACCCCTGAGGTTGCAGAGACACGACAGAAGCTGGCTCAAAGCGTACTTTAAGACCACTTCTCCCCTCGGAGCCCGGGTTTCTTTGGCAGCACTGACGTTTCTTGGCTCCTCATCCTCACTGTCAGACAGATCGAGGAAGTGCACTCCTCGCTGGCGCTTGAAGTAAGACTCTTTCTTTGTCCTCTGAGCTTCAGGAGTTTCTGGGATGGTGGAATACTCTGTGGAAGACATTTCAATAGGAGAAAAAAGAGGAGACAATGACTTACAGCTTCAAATATTTATTTGTACTTAGAGCATCAGGTAGCTGTGATTTTTTTCAGAGACACGACAGCCATTAAACAGAACTCACCTTCTCATGCACAGAAAATTCCTGTCAGCTGCATTTCTTAAAGTGAGAACTTACTTGGCAAAGGATCTTCAGGCCTCTTACATCAAACAACTTTTATACTACAATGTTTAAGAGAATGTGTATTTTAGGTTAATAACTATTTGAAAATAAATAAATACTTATTTTTAGATAAATGAATAAGGAGCAAAGTCCTCTGAACTACTTCCAGGCCGATGAGAACATGGATAGAAACATAGGCATATTTCTTTCTTTTCTCTACGAAGAGAGAAAAATTGATGCACAGAGCAGAGAACATGACAGCTGCAGAGAGCCTTTTCTGTATGAAAAATCTTGTGGGAAATAAATTTTAAATAACTCACTGTGGCAACACTGAAGAAAAAAAAAGATAAATCCTAGAAGTACAAGATATTTGCTGACACAGGAAACTGCACAGGTTTTGAAAGGCAAAGGCACCAAATAAACTAAAAACAATATGGTACCAAATGTAACAGAGTACACTACAAAAAAAGAAGAAAACTTTAAAATGGAGCTTAATTAAAGGGTTAAAGGGATAGAGGTGAATGTAACTCAGTGTCTATGAGGAAACATCAACAAGGGTTTAATGATAGTGCAAAAGAGCAATCATTCAAGCCTTAAGACTTCAGGTTGTTAAAGAAACTTCCAACCACTTAGGAGCCACTCTGGCAGCAGCACCTCAGCTGGGACCAGGACCCCTTTAGAGCTACAGATCCCATTCACAGAATTACACCAGGTCTCCCAGAGCACCCTCATATGTCCAGATCCCTGGTATCATTTAAACATGTGCATTTACAAAATCACAGCTCTAGCTGGTGCCTCTAAAGGGCAACTCCCTCAAAAAAAATAAATCCTAGGATTTTACATCCTCACAGTCTAAGTGCAGCAAAGTCTGCAGTCATCAACTCCGGAGTGCCCGAGGCCCTGACAGGGGTCAGCAGTTCCCCGCCACCTGCCTGGGGCTCTCCACACCCACAGCTCAACCTGCAGCCACACACCAAGTGACCTACACTGAATGGATCCTTCAACAAGATGGCCTTAACCACATGCAAATCCAGATAAGGAGCTTCTGGAAAAGCTGTGTTTTAGTGAAACTACTGTCACTAGAAGTCCTCATATAAAAAGATCTTAAATTCTCATAGCACAAAGAAAGGATCACAGGCATCCTCTCCTCTCTAACACACCCATCCTTTTTTAAAACTCATGGGCTTGTGAATGAAGCAGCAGCGGCGCTGCTAACTCTAGAACCACAATTTTGGCTGGAAGGTAGTTTCTTCTGTCTCCATTCAGTAATGCAGAAACTTGCTGAGTCAAATTGCTAGAATGCAACATTAGTTTGCAAAGCTGATTTGCCAGAGACAGCAGACACAGATGAAGCTAGACTAAATTAATCTGATAGTCAAATACAGAAAGGAGCTACATGGTGTCCAATTCCTTCATATGTGATAAAAGACCTAGTTTTAGTTGAGTTATCAAAATCTAGGTCTTTTCTATCACTTTCAAAACACAATATAGGATTACGGTAATGATTCTTAGAAGAGGCAAAAGTCTCACTTTGCAAATGAATCTTGTTTTGAAAAGCCTATACACATGCAAATTTAGGAATGCCTAAAAATTATTAGTTCTGAAGCAGTAGTACACCGTTCCAAGACGGACCTCCCTGCATCGAAGATCAACATGTTGGCAGTGGAAGCCTCCTGAGCAGTACCTTCTTCTATCTGTCCGTTTTAGGAAGGAGATGCCTTGTCCTTGATGCAGTTGCTTCATCTGAAAACTGATAAAGTTTTGAGACGAATACAGGAGAGGATCAAAAGAGACCTTTGGGAACACTTTGAAGTTGGGTTATCAGGGCAAAGGCTATCACAATAGGATAGAAACACAAAATGCATTAAAAAAATGCAGTTCAACATCAAAACGGGTCTCAAGAAACATGAGAATTTCACATCTACACTGAATTAACTGAACAGATCAAGGCAGTTTTCATGGATCTTCACCTTAGATTAAACTAAATTTCAAACAAATTTCTCTTGCAAGCAGTGTGACACAGAAAGGACAGCTGCTCATGACAAGTTTGCTAAGAGGCATCCTTACTGAATTTAAAGGAAAAACACACGGAAATCTTACAAAAATATGATAATCTTACAAGTAATTTTATTCTTTACAGTAGAAACCTTAGACAAGATTTATATTTAAATAAAGAGTATTTACTGTTTCACTTAGTGATTTCTCATTCTATTTAGCAATTACTGTCCTGTCTTCATGACAGCTCCTAACTCCCATACTTATAAAATGCTGAGTTACCTGGGGAAAAAAAGAAACATCCTTCCTCTCAAAAAAAAAAAAACAAACAGCCCAGTCTTCTGCCCTTCCTCCACCTATTCTACTGAACAGCATCCCCTACTAAGTGGGGGGGAGCAGAAAACACACATGTAATAAGGAGTTCCTCATATTTAGAGCAAACTGTAACCTTGTAGAGTAGTAAAAGACTAAAGTTATTGCCACAATATGTAATTCTTAGAGGCAGAATTTTCTGATTACAGGCAATTCAAATGAACTATTAAGGAATGCCTGCAATCATAAGACCGGCTTTCGACTTTGAGGCCAGAAATAGGAACACTCATAAGCATCCCTACATGCACACATTAACATCAAAACCAAAACCCAACAATAACCACCAATTTTTGCTATCATTAAAGGAGAATACACTACCCTGTAATTCTAAATACAACTTCCTACACAAATCATACACCACACTCGGAGAAAGCCAGCTTCTCTCACAAGTGAAAACAAAGGTAAAACCAAAGGAAAAACTGAGGCAATACTTAAGAGGCTTACCACATTTACTAACATTGTCTAACAAGCCTTGTCAAATAGAAAGTAACTTCCACCTAGTTTTAGAAAGCAGTATCAAGCACATGGTGCCCAAGTCTACAAGGTAATAAGTGTTCCCTTTTCAAGGGAAAGTCTTTTCCATTGGCTAAAATAATCTTAAATGTCAGTATAATTCTAAAGTACTTCTTAAAGCAACCCTTTTAAAGTGATGATTACGTCAACATATCTTCCCATGAACCCTTAGAAAACTTCACTTGGTATTGCAGACATCACTATTTTCCAGAAATACTCTAAGTAGAATTACACCCTACAAACTGAGACATAAGCAGACCTGCTCAGATCACACAGAAAATGACACAAGGAAAAAAAAAGAGCAGTCCAGTGCCAGTGAGCTCTGAGCATTATAATCTCAAAGTGTAGCCATTCAGGATACATATTCATACAGTACAGAGAGGATATCAACAAAATCAGTCATCAATAATGGGGTTATGCATTGTAGTTTAATTTCTTTTACAACTTTTCTTTCAATTCTTTTTGGAAGCTTTGTAAGCATGCTCTCTGAGACCAGAATAAAGAAATCATTTTGAAATTCATGTTGGCAATTATTCTAATTTGTGCAGTTCTGGTACAGTTCTTCTCCATTTCTACAATTGTGTAGAACAATCTCATTATCTTAGTACACTGAGTTAATTACACAATTAAAAACATCTAAATGAAAGAATCTTCACTGTTTCCTTAACAGATTAAGAGATTCAGTAAACATTACTATTCAGTAAATAATACTAATTTGCATTAAAAACTGCAATAAGCCACTCCAGTGTATTTTTCCAACTCTTTTTAGAGACATCTACCATATATAATTTGGTAACTGTCTCTGGTCTGTCTCAGCAAATGCAGCCCAGAATTATTCCCTATAACCTGGCTGAAAAGCCACTGCAGGTCTCTGTAATTTTGAATACAGACAAGTGTACAAAGATGATCAATTCTTGTGGCCATCACACCACAAATTGCTTATTAAAGCAGAAGGGATGCATGTTCAACACAAAGAACAAGAAGCATTACCTACAGATATAAATGGGGTACAGAATCATGTACCAATATTAGTTTGTTCTGGGAAAACAAAAATAGATAAAATAGCTGAAAAGATAATGGTGGTTCATGCCACAACAGACAACATCTGACTATATTTTTTGTAGATGGATGACATTTAGACAATCCTATACTTGTTAGAGGTACATTTCAGGGCACTTGATAAAACAGAAATCTGAAGCAATCTCGCAAAATTATACTGAATGATTTGTGCTCCTGAAGGGCAAAGATTATTAAATTCTTTTTAGATACACACAGTGGTTGCACTATACCAAAGTTGGTAGCAAAAAAATAAAAAACCCCAAGTTGTTAGCTATTTAATGGCATTTTTGTTTGTATAAGTGAAATAAAGATGACTCTCTTCTTTCCCCAGTTTCTTGTACCAGTATTTTGTTAATCACTTTGCCTTCAGAAGAAATCTGAGTAGCTGTTGTCCTCACATGATGCAGTGAGCATTAGGGCAAGTTATTTTTGGTGAGCCTGGTGTAAACTGCTTCTCATACAGAACAACTCCATAGTATGACCTGTTGGTGCAATCAGCAACAGAGAGTACACAGTGCCATAAACTCAGCTTTGGGCCTTTCCATGGCCATTCAGAAATAACAACATCAACAACAAAAAAAGCTGACTTTTATCTGACCCAAACCAAAAATTGTGTCTTCCCGATACCAATTAGGAAACAAGGAGGACAGGCATCTGCTTAGCAAATCTACATTTAAGTGCCTCATATCATGCAGACAATATCTAAGTGATTTGTTTTTCATTAAATTCCGTAGATGTAGAAAATGTAATTTCATGTCTTAAAAGGCTATTAATTCTTTAAACAGGTTACATAACATTGATGTGCACATAAGTGGGAGAAAAAGTCAGTAAACCACTCGATCTTTAAACATTCAGTATCTGTGAAAGATGAAGCATTATGTATATGCAGAGCACTACTAATTACATCTCAATTTTAAATGTTAATTAGTGCCCCAGTTCTACACCAGCATCTGTGTCCATGGATGCTTATTTGAGTTGGATACCTGCTGTAGTTTTGCCTCCTCTTGCACTCTACCCTGTTTCACTGTTCGCTACCACCACCTCCCACTAGTTTTCCTCACAACCACTTAGCCTCACATTACACATCTTTTAGGTTGGCCTTCATCTTTCTTTTTATTACCTTGTATCTAAACTAATGCCTCTAAATTGGTATTACATTCCTTCTCCACAGTCCTACCCCTGCAGAATTTAAGCCAAGGGAAACCAGCATATTGAAAAAACAAGCACTGAAATTTGTTGGCAGTTAGCAACATGCTTACACTGACAAAGCCCACAGGCAGATTAAAGGAAGAAGTATAACATTAAAATAAAGTAAATAAAAAAATAAAGTAAATCCCCAAAACATGAAGCCACAAAACAAGCAGCACCATCCCTTACTGCAGAACTACATTCACAGTTCAAGAAGGGCCCCTGCATTCGGTAACTCGTCCACAGCACAAGACAATGATTTACCACAAACAGGAAGGGAACACCTGTTCCAAAGTGCACTTCTCCAGAGTGCCCATTCTGCCATACAAGCATTACAAAGGCACATCAGCAGAAACCAGAATTAACAGCTGCCTGCTTCTTTAGAGTTCTCCCTGTCACCAAAACATTCTTTGTAAGTGGACCGGTTACTCAGTTCCAGACTGACAACTTATATATTTTATGTATTTTAACAAAGAACGCTGCTTAATATTTACTAAAGTAAACACAAGAGCACTCCAATCAACTGAAAGCAGTCAAACCTACACTAAACCAAAATTTAGGGCAAAGTAAATATCCACATCTTTAATTCTGACTTGGCTCAGTTTTAAAAGAGAACTCCTTGTGCATGAATGGTTCTCTGTTATCATGCAGATAAGGTATTGTGAAAAACTGCCCTGCACCAAGGAAAAGTCATGTGCAAAAAATGTAGTTAAACAACCGGAAGACACATTGCTGTTTCATTTTTTAAATACATGCATAGTCATACTCTGTCTGATCTCTCCAATAACACCTGTAGTTCAACAACTATACCACAAGTTAAATGGCATGTCTGAGAAGTACCAAATAGCCAGCAGGAGATACTGTCTGTTTTTCAAATCTTACTCCTTCAGTAACAGGAAGAACACACAGGTGAATGTGATTACACAGCCAACAGCAACTTCAGTCATTAGTATTAACCAGCAAATCTAAACAGGAACAGCAAATCCTACTGTCTCAGCCAAAGGAAACTAACACGCTACGAACACAATCAAGTTTTTCACATTTCCATGAAAACCCCTAGCTTCTGCCCCAAAAGAGGACAAAAACTACACCAAAACCTTTAACACAGCTTCTGAGAATCAGTACTAGGTCTCTCAGCTCTTTACAAAACTAGGCCCAAGTGAAAAGAAACTGTTCCCTTTCAATTCCATCTGTGATGCTCCACGATGCATTAGCCAAGGACTCTACTCAGAAAGCTAAGTGTTTTATCTATCAGAAAATAAAAACCTTCCTTGAAAACACTGAAACGTTAGCATAAAATAAGTATCAGTAAATAGAGTTTACAAATAGAAAAAAATGTTACACTCTTTCAACATTTAATTTGAAATATACTTAATCAATTGAAAAAAACAAGTTATTTCAGAAGGTTAACACCTTGCCTGTAAATGCACAAGTTCAATTAGAGCACACACTTCTACAAACGAGGATACTTTTGTGGAAATTGTTGTGAAACGTTTGCACAGAAAAACACTTTTGTAAAACAAGCAAAGAAGGCAAAACCGAAAATTACAAACACCAAAACAAAAGACAATTACTTTATTTCTAGAAATTAAGTACTTACGCTGCATGCAAAACACCTGACTCACCAGTTCTCTCTGACAGGTCCGAAGCCGGAGTGTCTGGCCTCTTGTTGTCATCCGCACCTTCCTCCTCACCCCCTGCAGCAGCACGGAGCGCGGCAGCAGCCACAGGTGCCTCCGCGCAGGCCGCCGGCGGGGACGGCGACACCTGCTTCGCGCCCTTCCCCTTCCTCTCGAAGCGGAACCGGTCCAAATTGTAGAGGCTCATATTCTCAGCCTTTCTGTGGGGAAAGCCAGGAAGGGGAGAGAGCCGGCAGGGCCCGTCTAACACAGACAGGAAAATGCAGGCGAAGGGATGGGCCGGCGGTCCCACAGGAACGCGAGGCCAGGGGCGCTGCCAGGCTCTGCCTGCCCGTCCACCCTCCCTCTCTCTCTCTCTCCCTCCCTCTTCCCTGCGCTACCCGGGCCTGCCTCCTCATCTCGGGGCGGCGGGCCCCACACGCACCTGTGGCGCAGCGGGACGGCGGGAGGAGGCGAGAGGCAGCAGCGGCGGCGGCCGACAGGGCAGGACAGGGCAGAGCCGGGCCGGGCCGGGCCCCGGGCAGGAGCGCGGCCGGCGGGAGGGCGGGATGAGGCCCGGGATGAGGGCGGGATGAGGCCCGGGCAGCGCGAGCAGGGCGCGCTCCCCTCCGCAGCGGGGAGCGGGGCTGCCGGCGCGCGGCGATGACGTGACGGCCGCCCCCGCCAATCGCCGGGCCCGGCCGGAGCGCGCGCGCGCCTCTCCCCCGGCGGGCGGCGCTGCCCTGAGGGGACGCGGGGACACCGGGGCGGGAGCGGCTCCGGGGGCTGAGGGGCGCTCATGGGGTCGCGGCTGCCAACTCCAGACACCGCACCAGTGACGTTTGGGATTCCAGATCATCGCGTGTTCACATCCCGCCCCCCACTTCCAAGTTGAAAAGTTTGGGTGGAGAACCGCGTAAAGACCATCATAGGAGATCTGGAACTTTAAAATAAGGGGTCGTGCAATCGAAGAATAGTTTGGGTTGGAAGGGTCCTTAAAGCCCCTGCCATGGGGCAGGGACACCTTCCACTAGACCAGGCAAAAAACCTCCATCCAACCTGGCCTTGAACACTTGCAGGGATGGCACATTCACAACCGCTCAGGGCAACCTGCTTCAGGGCCTCACCGGGATCACTGTAAAGAATTTCTTATAAATGTCTAATTTAAACCTACTTTGGAGCCATTTCCTCTTGCCCTGTCCACTTACATGCTCTAGTAAAAGGTCTCTCTCCATCCTTCTTGTAGGCTCCCTTCAGATACTGGAAGGCCACAATTAGGTCTCTCCTAAGTGTTCTGTTCCACACCAAACAATCCCAACTCTCTCAGCCTTCCCTCATAGGAGAGGTGCTCCATCCCTCTGATTGTCTGGCAGCCCTCCTCTGGACCAACCCACCAGGCCCTTGTCATTCCTGTGCTGGGACCCCAGAGCTGATGCAGCCCTGCAGGTGGGATCTCACTAGAGCAGAGCAGAGGGGCAGAATCCCCTCTCCCTTTCAGCTGTCCATGCTGCTTTGGATGCAGCCAAGGACACGTTTGGCTTTCTGGGCTGTGAGTGCCCACTGCCAGATCGTGTCCAGCTTCTCATCCAGTAGCACCTAAACCTGTCCTGATACCAAGGGTTGCCCTGACCCAGGTGCAGCACCTTGCACTTAGCCTTGTCAAACTTCATGAAGTTCCTGCAGACCCACTTCTCAAGCTTGTCCAGGTCCCTCTGGATAGTACTGTAGCAGCACATACCGCAGTTGACACAGCTGTGACACAGAGTGTCATACCACTTCAGAAGGCTTCAACCCATACAGAGTAACACTATACCACTGCAGAAAGCGCCAAGTGTCTGTTCTTTCTTGCTCTTCAGCCCAACCTGTTATACCCTCCTGTTCCTGCCTGGCACCTGTGTGCCCTCTGCTCCCTTTGGTGATGGTCAGTGCCCCTGGGCACTCCATGGCTCACTGCTGTCAGTGCTGCTCACCTGCTTCTCACAGCTGCAGCCCACTGGGGATGAGGCTGGCACAGCCCCACCCCAATTACCACAAACTGTGTACCTACATGGTACCCCACGCTTCAGGTCTGGATTTAGGACAGTTTTCAGCTTAGGTTCCTTGATATTTTTCCAGCATTGTGCTCCTTTGGCAGAATAGGTGGGGAAAACACCTCCTTTTGCTGTCTTGGGCCAGGGCCTGCTACCATGCTGGGTTTCAGTGGATGTGTGGTCACAGAGCACATGCATCCAGGTGTGCAAAGGCACCTGAGGTTACCTGGTATTGCACAGAGAACCTTGCCAGGGCTGAAATGGTGGCCTTAAATATTGACGTGGCAAAGAGGTACTGAAACTACCTTTACCCCCTTAACGTACCAGCCAGCCATTAAATAAAGTGCTTTAAGGCCTGGCAGAAATGAATAAGCATTATACTGGCGAGCCAGGTGCAGCAGCTAATAAAGACATTCTGGAGAGATTAGACTAGCTAACAGAAAACCAGAAAAAGAAGCCACTTAGCCATCCATTGTGCTAACTCTGTAGTTCTGGGCTCACAGGATGTTCCTTCACCCTTAAAGTTATTTGACTTTTAAATTGTAGTAGACAAACACCTGAGAAGCAAAAGGTTTGGAGGAAATCAAGCTTCAGTGACAATGTCTTGCTTTCATATCAAATATTAATCTACAATTTGGATAATAGATGAGTTTCAGTTTGTTGGAAACTTTCTTCTGCTAATCACAAATACAAACAAGTCACAGTGTACATGGAACAGAAGAGTGATTTCACCGCCAGAGGTGGATGCCAAGACACAGGTGGATTTGCAGACTGGCTGGTGTCTGAACAGTGCAGTTCAGAGATCATCTGAGGTTATCCCCTGAGGTTATTCTCTGAGGAGGGCTAAATTGTGCTGGAGAAGGAGTGCCTGGGCTAGACTTACTGTTGACATATAAAAAGGCAAGAGATCAAGGGCTTTCATGCACAGACCAGGTCAGTGTGAAAATGGAAGAGAGTTTTGCCTGTCAGCACAAGCTCAGACTCTTACCACCTTGAAATTCCACCCATGTATTAAAAGGCAAGTTACCCCAAAAATGGGAATAAAGAAGCTTGTAGGTACATCAGAAGTAAAGCTGGGTGTGGGTTAGAGGAGGAAAAAAGTATGGTTCATTAGGACGCTTTTAATTTTGCTCAGAGAATTTGGCTCTTTCTTAGGACTTGATTACCATGGCAGAGCTCATGAGCTTCTCTGCAAAGCATTAGTACTGCTGTTAGCACCTCTATGTGCTTGTCTCACACTGACTTACTGCAACACATTGAGCATCTAAAGGTTAAGGACTCTGACAAGGCTTTGACCCCTTTTTCCATGAGGAAAGGATGACAAACTGTGCATGTATATGTCAGGTCAGTTGTTTGACTGACTTAGAGGACACAAACAATGCTGTTAAGTGTGCAGAGACAAATGGGCTGTGAGGCTGAACGAGTAATGTTGGAAAAGCTGAGAAAATAAAGATGAAACTGGGGAAAGTAAGTGTAAAGGGGAGCATACACTCAGGTCATTCTGTGTTTGTGACTCAACAAGGCAGTCAGGAACACTAGTCTTGGGGGAAAAGTAATAAGAAAAAACCCATACATTCCAGAATTTGGGAGAAAAAGCAAGTTCAAGATAAGAAAACAGTGAAAATTAAGGGAATTAAATAGAATGCTGCAGAACATGCCAGATTTTAAAAGCATTTCATTTACAGGAATTAGCATGAACCTAGAAAATGCTGCAGCAGATTACTTCAGTTTTTACAGTGCTTTGAACTTGGAAAGACTGGGTAATTGGTAGGTATTAATATTGTTGACAAGCTATTGTGAATTCCTGGCAAGCAAGGCAGGGAAAACATCTTTTTTGAGGCGCTAATGACACTGGTTAGACAGCTCATGCTTACTGGAGAACTGACAGATTGCTGTCAGCTATTGTTTTGAAGGCTGATTTGTGAGATTTTGGTGGTTTTTGTTTTGTTTTTTTGTTGTTGTTGTTCTTAAGAATGGCAGCAGAAATTTTAAAAGAATATATTTATATACAGATTTGCTTTACATGCAACATTAGAGCTGTTATATTTGACTTGTTTTTACTTAAGTCACAGTTTTGTTGCTATGCCAGTGATAGAGCAGCATAGCAGATGGTATGTAGGCTTTCAGAGGACTTTATGAAGGTTTATAGATCAGTGAAATATAATAATGCCTGAACACTGAAAGAAGCCAAAGAAAACAAAAATATCAGTTTAAAATTATTCATTTTGAAATTAATGAAAATTGAATTTGCATTGTTCTTAGTAGAAGGAGACTCAGATCTAGGAGTTTGATAATAGGAGTTAAAACTTAATGAGATACAAAGAGTCACATTCTATGTTACATTTTACAAAGTGGCAAGGCAGTAAAATTGTTTTTCGCTAGTAAATAATCAGCCACAACAAAATGTATCTACAGACATTCTTCACAAGTCTCTGTTGTTACAACTATTGTTCCTTAGATTCATGCCCTTTTTGTGCCCTACCACTTCAAGCAACTTTGTATTGAGGGAAGGTCTACCTCAGCTACCTCATGAGAACCCACTGAAGTTGTGCTGTGGTGTAAAATCACCAGGGTGTGTGACAGGTAAAGCTTACAGCACTTCTGTTGGGGCTTGCCCCCAAATATTGTATAGGATTGGTGGAAAGTGTTTCTATTTTGTTATCAATTGTGAGCAACAAGACCAGTTGTCAAATGCTGGTGGGTTTGTACCTGATTCTAAATAATAATAATAACAATAATAATATGATTTTAAAAACCTAACAAAAATTTAAAAATCTATTAAAATGTTAAAACTAATTCAACTGCCACTGAAAAAAGTGACTAGAGTCGTATGTAGCACATGGTGTTGCTGTAGCAACATCACCATACCTAAATAATGAAAATCCAAACTATTTTGTTGTGTGAGCTGCACAGTGATGACAGAGTGAGGCCTCAGGTGGGAACTGTCTCTTCTCTTTTAGCCAAGGTTTTTTTTTCCTTTTTACTGTCCATTGCCTAGATGGGGAATTTTTCTACTCAGCAAACAAAAAAAAAAACGCTCTTTGGGAAAGAATAAGAGAATAAGACTGGTTTTGTAGTACAAGAGATTTTATATTGGTGTTACTTTATATAAGTATCATTTTTTTGTGTGTACGAAGATACTTTAAATTGTCTGTTGTGGTTCATGTTTTCTAGGAATATGAACCATTTTACTACTCTATTACCATTCTAGAACATTTCTCCTTCTTTTTTCTCACCTGAGGTTATCTGAGGTAATTTATTTCCAGTACTGTTATTTTAATACTGAGCTGATGGTATCTACGTATATAAATGTATATATATGTGTATACATTTACATATATGTGTATACATATACATATATATACATATATATGTATATACATGGGTGTCTGTACACATATATATGTAGATACATATATATGTATACATATATATGTATATACATGGATGTGTGTATACATATATATGTATATATATGTGTGTGTGTATAGTTTTACTTGTTAAAGAGTAAATGCATTTTAGTTTATTTTTCTCTATTTCTCTAAAGTAGTTGCTCCTTTTTGAGTTTATATGTATTTGATTAAGAAACAAGAGAGAGAAAAACCTG